AATCATATACCTAATATCTAACACTTTTTTTATCATTACTGGCACATTAATTTGATGTTTTCTTACCTCGTGTTAATGTGGCATGGTAGCTTATGCCAACGCATACCTGTGGCACGCTCAATTTTGTTTATGTAAATTTTTCAATTTTTGGTTGCTGTGCATACGTTTCTCATGTTTCAATTATAAAAGGCATCGTCCCTTAATTTTTCGCCCAAAAGGAGTGGTACAGTTAAACACATTAACTCTACCATAGAATGGAGCTCTGCTTATTATTTAAACACGTAAACATTAGTACAAAGGCTTACCAAAATTTGTATGCTCCACAGAAAAATGGGAGTGTGAAAAAAAATGAAAAAACGAGAATTTTATTAAAAAGGAATAAAAGTGATTAGAAATTAGTATACGAGTGTAAGAAAAAATAGTGATGAAACAAGCAATTCAGTTAGGAAAAATATGACTGTATAAGGACAATTGAATTATAACCAATACGGCTAAACACACGTTGCTGAACTTCGGCACCACTAACATGAGGTTGCCACTAGATGTCAGCAATTTTATTTTGGAGACAGTAATTAGCAGACAGAGAGTCATCTAACATGTTCAGCCCGGAGAGGCAAGGTTTTACGAGCACAGCAAGACTGCTCTCACCGGCGCGTCCTATATCCGAGATTTTACAGCCAGACTAACATCATGAAGGCGCCAGAAATCGCTCAGATTAGCAAAAGTCACTCTGGCTTTCACCATAAATGAATTGATCTCATCAATCACTTCACCGTCAGCTCTTATACAGCTAACCAGATATACGGACTTCTCGATAACTCCTATCTTCTCACTACTCAGAATAAGTGGAGGTTCAGGATCCTGTCAGCCTTACACTTAGAAGGTGACAAGCACATGCCATATCTACGGACGCTGGTTTCCAGCTGAATAAGTGTGTATTGCATGGCTTGGCTGTTACCACACAGTAAGACAATATCATCCGCATACTCAAGGTGGAAACGTTTCTTCAGGCAACAGATCTACTTCGTCATTACTTACGTTAATCTGAGGTGTTTCCAGAACGTCATCAATGACAAACTTGAAGAGGAACGGTGAGCTTGGGCAATCTAACCTAACCCCACTGCTTGAATGGAACAATGGAGAGAGGTGGTTGTATGTTTTCACTCTGAGTTGTTTGTATATAGGGCTTTCAAGATGGTAATAGACTTCCCAGGTACACCTTTCTTCAATGGATACACCCAGAGTACAGTCCTGTCCAACCAATGGAAGACGATCCTAATGCAAAGAAACAACGATTGTTGGCCTGTGATAAGTATGACGATGTTGTAACACTTGGCGGAGGATGAATATATGGACCGTATTTCCTCGAAAAGAATCCACAAAGTCGACGGAAATCGTGTAGAATGATATGTCTCAAGGGGTTGTAAGTAGCTTGTAGAAAACACAGTGCCTATAAGCGGAACATCTATCGAACACGCAAGCGGGTTTATTTGCCGTTCTCATGTAAATCCAGCCGGTGCTGGTCTATACTTCTCTGTGAGCTGACAGCCATCCTTGGACCTAGCCCGGTTTCATACATAGTTGCAATAAAGGTTGTATTTAATTTGGTCACATCGATCCATTTAGGAAAATAAATCGTTAGCCATTAAAAATTAATATAAGATTGGCGCAGACGAAGACATGATCAGATCCCATATAAGTGCTCTAAAAGGAGCGGCGGTCTCCTACACAGCTACGACAGCATTAGCTGACGCCGATGGTACCAATTTGAGTCCAGGCTTGAGATTTAGTGAAAGGACGCCAGCTACTACATTGCAAATGACTGTCGTGCCATCAGAAAATTCCTGTAGGTCACAAAAACAACTGGTTAGTGCAGTATTCGTGTGAGGTTGTGACTTAAGACCGTTTAAGAAGAAAGACTTCCCAATATAGGCGTGCTACCTAATCAATGTGAACAAAATAAGATAGACAAATAACGTGATCTAAAAAAGGACGAATGGTACTGAATAGTTCTCATGATGATGGTTGGAGTTAGCATAATTTTCCCCAGTTGTGGGCACCATTTGAGTTGTGTGAACTAGAATTCTACCCAGGTGCCCAAACGGAAGCAGGTGGTGTTCTTAGGGGGCCACTGTCCGACCATTTGACCTGGAAGTCTGGTCCACAAGTTAATGGAGCAATACAAGGAGATACAGTCTCATGGTAACCAGTGACCAATGTTAGGTTTATACGCCATTTGTTTCCTTATTATTCTTAGCCCATATGACCACTGTTTTGAAATCAGAGTTTTCCAAATCCCCTAGGTGAATTCCCTGTACCACCAACCCGGCTAAGACTACAGACATTCCCTTTTAATCCGTATGCAATAACTCCCCTGCGAAGGGGTAGTAATTAGTGTTATGTCCCATAGCCTGTCAAATATCACGTGACAAAATCGCCAGTCAGAACACCGACTATATGACTCTGTCCCTATGCTAAACATCAACCAACTCTGAGTCTATTAATCCCCTGTATAGTATCTACTTGCCTAGCCCAGAATGTAAATTCCAGCCTCTAATATATCAAGCATGTTTCAGACACATGCAGTTTATATACAAGCAGACCAAACCGCAAAGCATAAAATGTAAGCTGAAGGTCTACGAGCGGACATGGACAGTCTCACCCCAAATTCCCTGATACGGCCAATACTGGGGGGTCCGCTCTCCCTGTCGAGATGCTCTCGTATGACCGCGCGTACACATCCACTGCTGGGGTAGTCTTACTCACTGTCTTATCACGGGGAGAGGCGTTTACAAAATTGAGAATACAAAAACCCAACGTCCGGCGTTTTGACCTGGCTGATCGATACGGGAAATCTCTGTGGGAGAAAACGTGCTTCCAAAACAGTGGTGCACACGACCTCCAGGATCCTGGAGGGACAAATGGCGTGCGAACCTAACATTGGTCACTAACTACCATTGGACTGCATCTCCTTACGTTGCTTCGCTGTCTAGTAGATTAGACATCTGGGTCAAGAGGTCGGGCTGCAACCCCCTAGAATAACATTTCGGTTTTAGCTTCTGGGTACTATTCCAGCCTTCACAAAAACCGAATGACGAAGTGTGGAACATATATATTTAGTGCCTCTTTGTACCAGTTGTTTAAATAAATAAATAGACAACCGGTGGTTTTGCAGTTCTAGCTGACACCATAAATTCCAGTTCGTTTTCATCATTACCTGGATAAAAATTTTAAATATATTTATTTTCCATTTTGTTTACATGGATTTACGTGTTATCTTTCAGAAACCCTCAAAGTGTGACTTGTGTGTACATGGTAACCTAGAAACCGGTTGGCACATCCCTTATTATAAAGGGCACCACCAGAAATTCCACACTGCAGTCGATTCGTGGCTTTGTTTACATCGTTTGAAATAAATTTTTGCGACAAAACATTCGTTTTCATAGTTCATACCCTTAAACAATTTCTAAGTGTAAATACATAACAAAAAATATTTTGAGTTCGTTGTCAAGTCTCAAGTTTACATCATAATTTTCCTTTTTAATAGTTGGTCCCGTACGGTGCTTTCCAGAATACACTTGCTATTTTCTAAGTAATGGCTTGTCCTAGTATCACATAACGAAGCTTGGACAAATAAATACTAGATGTGTGGTTGAATGTTGTATTAGTGGTGATGGTATGTCGACTCTGCGTAGTTGGTGTATGATAATCCTTGCTGCATAACTATTACGGGATAAAATGGCTAATGTATCATTCGATATCCTTACAAAATGAACTGCGGTAAATTAACTTGTTTAAACGATATTTTGTAGGTAACTAAATGTTGCTCGATTTTAGTCAGTAATACTGCTCTAGATATCCGGCTTAATTCCTACCTATTTTGTAAGACATACAAGTTATGTTTTGCTAATAGCTTATATTTTGAATATTTATTACGTCTGCCATTTTCAACCTACCTCAATGTATTCTTTCTGGTATATGAGGTGTAATGAAAGTTAGAGGCGGCAAAATCTATACGACACCAGTGCATAAACGCATCGGCAAGCGGACTGAACCATGTTAATGAGTGTAGACTACCTAATTGTCGTCCTCGTGATAACTGCAATCAGTGGTTGAAGACTTAGTGTTAAATGGCTCACAATCGTTCGCAGTGACGCAGATGTATCTACTAAGTCTTTTCATCCTGAGTTTTTTTCAGTTATTGGTTTCCTTTACTCCACTAATCGACGTATTCGATCCCCCGTTTTTCTATTACCCCTAATAATGTTACTACCTTTGCTGCTTTGGGATTTGCCCTGACAATCTGATCTTGTGCAAATGGAGGATAGCTTATTAAACCGATGTACACACGTATCAAGTTTTACTGACTACACATTTGGTTAATATTGTCGCGATTTTCAGCTCAATTTGTCGGCAACTGAGATCTAATAGCTGTGTTTGCCACTTGAACGAAGGCCAAGGGATTACTTAAGTTTATTTACCCAGAAATTTAGAAAGTTACAGGATGTGACGAATCGGCACATGAGTTCACTATGTTGATTATCTACCTTCAACCTTTAAATTGTCATAGATACAAAATCCTGTTCTAGATGCTTGCTTCTGGACTGATCTGAATCAATGACTAGTCTAGTGTTACAGTGTATTGTCTGTTTCATTTGTTCCAATATTTCAACCAGTAGCACTGTTTCGGACAGTGATGAAACCCTAGCACTCGTAAAATTTGTTTCCTTGACTATACAATTATCTGTCAAGCAGCATTTCGTTTGAGATATGATCTTTAAAAGTGGATACATGAAATTGCTGTTATTACATATTCCTCGAAGCACTGCTTGCATGTGTTCGGATCACCGTATGATTGGTGTTGAGGCACAGTTTGATGAATGTGATAAACGTTAAACTGATGCGTGACTGAGACACCCTACTCCTACCCTGTCCTTGGATGTTTAAAGCTAGGTTGTATCATGAATATAATAGTTAATCTATTTGCCTGCAGTAAAAAATCGTAATACTCTCCCATTGAGTCACAAAGCTTATTATAAAGATATATCTATTCCTATTACAAGCATGTTAGTGTATACCGAATAGAATAAATTAGCCAGTAAACTAAACTTTTGAAGTATAGAGCGCGAACTTCATGAACATGTATTTTTCTCAGAAACATAACTTAACACAAAGTTTTTACATAAAAATTACTTCTAACTGCCAGTAGAGCATGAATAAGAAAAACAGCGTGAAGGAGTACATAGAAAACAACAAAGGAAATAAATCGGGATATGCTACAGGAGGTGTAATCAGTAAGTCACCTATAATCAAGATACTATAGCCAATAATAATAAAAAGAATGATAAATAAAGAGATGATATTATTACTCGTAGCACTATTTTGTAATTTCTTTTTCTCAGCAACATGTTTATCACTATTGTTACTTTTAAGTATTATAAAACAGCCTAGAATAGTGTGTATACATGTTAAACATAAACTAGCTAATTGTAAACCGTCCTTTTTAAATAATGGCCACATACTAAGAGTAGAGCATAAAGAGAACAAAAATGACGATATGGGATAAAAAGGTAGCAAACACAAAGCAGGGATAGACACTAACAAAATAGATTTTTCATGAACTTGGAAGGAAAATAAGTAGAAATTTAACGCACATAATGCTAGAGAAATCAGGAATTTTTGGTTTTTAGACTTCTTTAGTAAAACTATACAAGATGGAAGGCATGTAGTCAGTACGAGCAGGACACTAACCCACACCAGTTTAGTAGACGATAATGTAAAGGGTGACGTAGGAAGTGGTGAACGCCATTTTACTAGCGGTGATGTAGCACACCAAAAATTAGATACTTTATCTTCGTAAATACCGCGATCAAACGGAAATAAACGTCGGACGACTTGAAATGAAAGATTCAAATCGGTTGTTAGTAAAAACGGTGCAAATATCAAAAATACTGTCAAGAAAACGACACAGCTCAGTTTGGCTAGATGTGTTATTCCACTGCGCACGGATTTTTTATAAATACAGTTGCTTAATAAAAAGAAAAAAATTGGCAACGCATGATAAAGTTCCATTTGTTTATAACCTATGGCTAAACAAAATAATATAGAACCGAGCATATCCCACTCTAGGAGGAGGAAATTAATTCCGCTCAAATACAAACCAAGACTGATACAATTATATTGGAAGTGTCCATGGTCAATCAATATAAGACCAGGATAAGTTAATGTTAAGCATGCTGAATAAAATCCACTAATTTGTGATTTATTATTCATAATGCTAGGTAGAACATAATAAAAATACAGTAGTATGGAAGGTATAAAAAATAATACATCAGCTACCAATACAGTATAACGCATAAACAACTTGTGCTCTTCAGATTCGAAACCTCTCGATGTGTACAACTGAACCCAATCACGATCAATTTTATTAGCAAGTTTACCCATCAGCCAACTATGATATGCCGTAACAGGTGGATAATCTAACCCCCAATAATTCAAATCATTATGTGTTGAATTGATATACCATTCTGTGAATGGTAAATTAACAGTGATTTCCATCCAATGACGTTGAGCTTCATAGTCACCATACATGGGTGGTTTATTTTCGCCGGAATATGAGTGTAAAGTGGTAGATGAGCGCAAGGCTATTCCAATGAAAATAGGTATACAAATTTTAACCAAGTTATCGACATTTGCATTTACCATGACTGTTACGATTCGTTGTACTATAAAATTGGATAGAGAAAACCAAATCGATCGGTTAATATCTAATAAGCAGTAAAACGCCATTGCTTAATTACAGATATCTCAACATAAATGAGATACTACAATAAATACTGGGAGCTTTTTGGAAGATGTTTTGGATTAGAGTCACTAGTAAACTTTACTAGTGACTCTAGTAAACGTAGCTCCAAAATGCCCTGGTACGGCCGAGAGTGGGGAGAGTCCGCTCTCCCTATCGAAATGCTCTCACATGGCCACACGTATATAGCCTCTGCAGGGAAGCTCTACTCACTGCCTTATCGTGGCGGGGGTGTTGTTCACAAAAATGAAAGGACGAAGAGCGAATGTTCGGCACTTTAACCGGATCCCAAACCAATGGTGCACATGGGCTCCAGGATCCCGCGGGAACAAATAGTGTATGAGCCAATTGGTGGTCACCGGCTACCATGTGATTGCATCTCCTCACGATGCTCCACTGCCTTGTGGATCAGACCTTCAGGTCGAAGGCTCGGGGTGTGGCCCTCTTAGGTTTGGACACCCGGGCAGTATCACATCCCTTACACATATCGAATGAGATTTGTGTGGCGTATATGTATTTGGTGCCTCCTTGTATCAATATCTATGTGTTAAAATAAATAAGTAAACGTTAACTTACCAACAATAAAACAAGTTTTGCGTAGCATAAATGACTACATTAGGCGTAAAAGACAATTTTAGTTATTTATAGACCATACACCTTAGTTCGTTGTATATTATAAAACCACAACAGTCCCAAGTCTTCGAACATTTCAGTATCTCTTATTCCAAATATGAATTTTTATTTTCATTGACCAGCCACTAAAAACCTACTTAAGCACGTGTACGTAATTGCTGTCCTTCAAAAGCAATTTCTTCTAGGTACATTGAAAAGGCGAATTCGATAATATAATAAAAGACGAGTAAATTTGAAATACTATCTCACAAGAGCATAGGATTTAGTACTAATAGTATAAGTTATATAATCTAAGTTTATAATTCTTTGTTTGCTTTACATGATGGCTTTTTCAGCTCACGGGAACTAGTTGATACACACCACATACTAAAATAGGAAAATGTGACAAGTCAGGAGCAGTTTATTTACCCTTGCACAAAATGAGAAAATTTTAATATTTAAATAGTTGTTACTACATTAATATTTGTGGGGGAAACGTGCTTCGTGAAGTTGATAAGTGCTATCCCACTGAAAGTAGTAGCAAAGTGTAGAAACATGGAATAATGAATGTATTTCTAGTAAAATCTAACATACATAGTCACAAGTAATATAACTTGTGATGCCAGATAATTTATGAGGCAACTGAAGTCGGTAGTTTACCTTCCAGTTTCTGGGTAGTTAAAACAAATTGACTGATAACATTAGGTGGGTTAGGTGTAATTAAACACACATTTATTACTTCGTTGTTGGTGAAAATGATCGCAAAAGTGAGCATATCAACAGCTCCCACGAACAATTAACAATTTCAGGATACCTACTATTTGTACACAGATAATTTCGTACAAAAATTCATTTTTGTGTCCGAATCTGGAGATGAAATCCAGCTAGCGACTTAGTGAGGGGGAACACACATTCAAGGGATATTGAATCGCCACTAGACGACACGCCACGGGTTGACATATCAACTGGAATACTAACTCTTTTAACTGAGAACAGGATGAAAAAATCGTTAGTTTGTATGGAGTTTCCGATTCGCAATTCGTCTTTCTAATCGGACCTAGAGAGGCAGATTAGGGAATCAGTACAGAGAGGCTGATACAACTAAGCAACCATCTCACGACTATGCAGAAAATCCCTGGGGAGAGCTCCGTGGTATGATTTCGGCTAGAATTTTCGTGATTACGGTAAGACTCTAATTTATATATGGGGTTTTCATCACGAACTGACATCAGCTCCCGAGCTCCTAATTTCGGGGAAAATTTGGCACATTTTGGGGAAATTCCCTAATATTTCCCTTTAACCTTGAGCAAGGTCTTTTGACTTTGAAGATCCCCAAAATTTCCACAAACATTGGTGAAAGTCATTTGACTTCGGGAGTTTTCCCAAAATACTTTAAAATTTCCCCAAAGTTGGGAGCTCGGACTATAAGGCCAGAAATTTGTTTAACCAAGTGCATGAAAAGCTATCGCGTTAAACTCCGAAAGTTGTTATCTTATACCTGACTGATTCGTCCACAAATTATAGTCTTGCAGTTTTACTTGTTATAGCCGCTCAATTATCACGTTTTGTACAAAATTCCGTGTGAACCGACCATACGTCAGCATTAAGCACTGAAGTTGGCGCTGTAACCTTGATATCTCTAAGACGCTTCTGATTGGTTCATCCATAAATTAGTCTCCCAGATGAAGACGTTTAAATGTTCAATCGAGCAATCGCAATGTGATTATAGAATGAAATCAACGTTAAGAAATAGAGAAAGCGGTCACGGTTAGATTTCGGCTGAATAGTTTAGATTTAGCAAAATAAATTACATGTTTTCCGTGGACGAGGATATACACAGACTTTGTTTGCTCGCTTACCTCTTACGTAATTCCAGGGCAACAGCAAGCTTATTTATAACATCCCTCTCCAAGGAATCTGTTCAAACTTCATCTGGTGAAAACCGACAGTTATTCATTCTTTGAGCTCTGTTTTTACGTAGTGCGAGAACTTACTTTGTTTAGTATACAAGTGACACTTGATTTTGTGTTACGAGTGAGCTTGAGAAGCTAATTTAGTGTTTGTCGAGATGTTTTGGGTACTATATAAGATCAAACGGTTCAAATGGTTGTAGACGCAAAAGGAGTAGTTTCCTTCAAACAGGCTTCCGTACTAAGTTTCAAGCATTCAAGTAGGAATCTAGGTAATATAGTGGTAAATAAATAGCTCTGTAAGTTCTCGACATTGGATACGGACCACATTAATTTAAATGCACTTACGTAACCGAGGGCGCTCAGTCATGCATCCATACCAGATCACAAGTGTGAACGCCGTGCTCAACAACTGCTGCAATCGCTAGCCAGATTAGATCACACGATCCTCAATATATTGATTACCTATCAAATATATCTTCGAACCTCCTCGCTTCTGTCCTTGGTTATACTTGATGAGTAGGATTCATAAAAGAAGGTGTTGCTGGTTTAAGCGTTGTCGAACTCCGAATACCTGTGGCATATTCAGTATATTTGGCAGGTTAAGAAGAAATTTTAGTTTATATTGGCGAAGCGATATCATGAATGCGCCTAGTTTCATCTTGAAAGATTCCTCACAAGCTCCTCGGACAGCCTAAGCGATCATCAAATACTATAATTTAACAACTGAGTAGTGGAAGGTGTGTTTACGGTTTACCCTGCTTTGTTGTGCTTCTAGTTAATGGGTGTTTCCCAAAGTCACTTTCTGTTGAAACTGTGCTTAAGTATTTGGGGGAGTGTGCAGAGATGATTTTTACGTTATAAACCACTAAATGGTCATCATTGGGGGTCCCATAATCTAATGGATAAACATCCAGAGATCAGAAGCGCTCCTCCTTATATTTGAGCTTGAGTACCCAAACTCTTTTCGTGGCCCATCGTTGAATGCGTTCTGGTGTATTACAATACTTTTCGAGTTGGTGAGGAAGCACAATATTTGCGTTCACTAAATCGTGCTAAATAAAACTCTTTAAGGTTAAGTGGAAAGTTCTATCAAACTGACCCAAAATGTGTTTCAGCAATAATGATGAGAGTTTTGCTCAAAAATTATTCATATCAAAGTCAAAGACTTTGGACCAAGTGGGACAGAAACCCCTGGATTTATTCAGTTTAAAATACTTTTGGAAAGGATTTTGCATGCGTAGTTCGCAAAATGCTTAGATGGAACACTTCACTTTTAAGTGTCAAAAGTAAGTTTATTGTTATTCATCCAACTTTGAAACTGAGTCAGATTATTATAAAGTGAAAACTTATCATCCTGGTTTCAAACTTCTCTCCAAATTCTGGCAATAAGTAACAACTCAGGCAATACTTGATGTGAAAAGTCATTTTTATGACTTAAAAACAATGAGTTCCTCTACAGAGCCCCATTGAGACATTTTGTTGTTTGAGGAAACGTGAAGATTACTCTAACTTTGTAGAGTTAATTATTCAGATATGAAGTAAACCGACCCATTACCAGTGACTTGATACCCAGCAGTTTGAGCTTCCTGGTGAGACATATGAGTGCCCCTGTCCAAATATTTTGGGAGGTCAATGTATATCACATCAACTTTTCGCTTGCGATGATGGTCTGTCTACACACCGCAGTAGGCAATTTCGTTATAGATGGATGACATTTGCTGGAACCATGTAGGTGGGGCTAAAATTGGGAAAGCCGTCTCATATCAAATACTTTGTAATTTTCCAGGGTAGAGACAGAGCTGCTACCGGTTGGTAGTTTGAAAATTCATTGCGACGGCATTCTTTGGGAAGTGGTGTGATGCTTGTTATTTTCCAGTTCTCTAAAACCATATATTGGCTTAGCGAATGTAAACGCTTCACAATAATAGGTGTTACTTAGATTTGGCTGCTTCTCTAAATTTTGTAGAGTAAACATTTTCTATGAAAGGAGTATACTTGTTTATATGCTGCAGCTTCCGATATAATAATCCAGTCCTTAGGTTTATTTAATAATAATAATTTATTCTCAAATAACAGTTTAGTACATGATGCATGTCAGTTTACAGGCAAGATCAAATTTTTACCAATGATACAATTTCCACTGTAGTAAATTACTCAGCTGGGTTGATAATTTATAAGACATGAATGTAGATGGTTGTAGTCAGTATCACAGTTAGCGCGCTTCATGAAAGTTGCGTTGCGATGTGCAACTGATGTTCAAGGATAGGTCTATTGAATGTGGGAGCTTCAAGAAGTCCCAACCTTATATCACTTCGGAATATCTGAGGGTTTAAGGATGGTTCAGGATTAAGTTACCTGTTCCATGTCTCAAGGGGGCCGAAAAAGGGAGCAAGAAGGGATGAGAGGCAGAGCAGCCAATGATCATGAAGGTTTATTTAAGGTATGACTACCCAGTCTAATTTTCTTTTATTAGAGTATTTACTAAGCAAGAGCATTCCATAGGCTAAAGATAATAATCATGAACAATGTATGAGTGGATAAACTGCTGACAAACGGAGGTGGTTCAGAAAGAAGCTGAAATTAAGGGATTATATGTAGTTATAAAATATAGTGCTAAAAACAGTATTAAGACGTACAATTGGCTATCTCCCTCTTTTTGTCGAAGCTACTAGAGACTTTTTTATCTTTTATTTTATTTTTTCTAGATTTTATTGGATCTTGAGTAGGCCTCGTATTTTAGGGAATTATCTTGTTTACTTGTAATAGGAATACTGAGTAGTAAATGAAACCAATCCAACGTTCTAAACACGATTTAATGAGGTATTTTGTATGACAAATCAGCGTCGGTACCTTAAGTTCGTGACATCCCACGAGAGCATAAGGAGCCGTAATTAAACAAAATGTTCTGTCCTACAGACATGGGTGGATTGAAGTTATCTCTTCACCATCATGTTTGCTGGTCAGTAACGCCACCCTCCCTCCTTTTGTGATGTTAGGGTCTCTTACATTTGTGGTAAGTATGAATACTGATTTAATGAAAGCCCGTAGTTGGAATACATTTTCTTTACTAGTTCCGTGTTACGAGCAATCCATATAGTTAAGGACTTGGTATTATGGGTTATATGCCCATTTCTGAGACATCTTGAGTTGCGGGTGAAGCTTTTGATGATGTGACGGCTTAAATCCTTGGAAGTACTATCTTGCTGGGAGATTGAAAGGACCACAAGTATTTGTATTATGACAACACTTTAATCAGTAACGCCTTTTGTAATTAAATCGTTTCCGCCAAATGAAATCAAGAGTCAGGAGGTTCAAAGATATATTTGACACGTTCCCATTTGACATTTCTGAATATTTACAGTAATGCCGTGCTTTTGTAGTCATTAAAAGACAAGGTCTAGATGCAGAAGATGAGATTCTCTATCGGAACTTGCTATTAGGCAGTCATCAACATACGCATGTGCGAAGTTGAGACCTCGAAAAACGCTATCTGTGAACCTTAGAAAGGTTTGTGCAGTGTTTCTTAGACAGAAGGGCATTCGCAAAAATTCGTAGAGTTCGATGGTAGTAATGATAGCGGTTTTTGGAATGTCATCAGTGACCATGGGAATTCGGTTATACGCTTTAACCAAGTCGATTTTCGAAAAGACAGTTGTACCTTTCAAGGTAGTTGTCAACTCGTGAATGGGAGGCAACGGGTAACGATCGGGAATGGTTATTGCGTTCAATCTCCGGTAGTCACCAGTTGGACGCCAATCGTTGTTGTCGCTTTTTATGGACCATATTCAAGGGAGATGCTGTTTGGCGGTCGTATGATCTCTAAGTTTATCATGTGGTCAAATTCGTTTTTGGCCAACTTTAGCTTTTCAGGAGCTAGTCGGCGTGTTTTAGAGAATACAGGATGTCCTGTAGTCGTAATGTAATGTTTGACACTGCTGGTTACACACGGCAATTTCGGTTGAGATTGATATATCTCAGGGTATTTATCGAGTATTTGTTGTTGGTACGGATTAGTCATGTACCTTACTATGACTGGAACTATACTATATCCGGAAAAAAATATTACACAAACAGATAAATTAGTGTTTGCGTTTACTAATATCCGTTTGCATTTCGATCAGTAAATTATTATGTTTTAGCAGATTTATAACAATGATTGTCACAGAACCATCAGCGACAACAAAAATCCAATGGATAGGTTCGCGTAAACCTACATTAAGATAAACGTACTGCTTACCATATTTCACGATCGGTTTTCCATTTGCAGCTCGTAAGTTTAAAACCGATTCGTGCGGTCGGTCGCTTGAACTGGCTGGAAGAACGCTAACTTCTGCGTCAGTATCGACGAGGTAGCGAACTTTCGTAATCATATATGTGACGTATAACAAACGGCTGTATTCGTTGGTTACGGTTGCCGTTAATGCATGCCGAATGGAAAGTTTCTTGAAGCCTTTTTCATATCGGTCGTTTTGGTGTTCGGAAAATTACAGAGCTTTAAACAATATCAAGATTATGAGTTCGAATTTTTGGTTATCAGTCTCCAGTGGTCTAGAGGCAAACCGTTCCGTGAAGAACTCCTTCGAGGGATTTTTGATCTTTCACGGTGATGACGAGTAAGAAGGTAACGTATCTGCATACGACAAATTTACGTAACGTCGTTGCTTTTGAAGTTTTGAAGTTTTACGTTAACTGAAAAAACCTCGGCGTTAGACGTTTTGGGGATATCTAGAATGCGTTCAACAGATGCAGCCGGCTCGTCTACTGCTTTGTTTTGATATGAGACAAGCACTGATTGCACCTGATGAGGAACTTTAGACAAGAAAATTTGCCTAAACAGGCCATCACCGAAATTCCTTTGACTAATTACTACTCTCATTCGTAACAACATGTCGATTGCTGAGCCATGTTTCAAATCGTTGTTAGTGAGGAGTTGATTTAACCTTAATCGATTGGTCAGATTTTCGCGTTTCAGAATAGACCGTTTTAGAGCTTCATAAAGTTCCAAAACATGACTGATGAGCACACTAAGTGTGACGTACCTGTTGAATTCACGCGGTAGTGCCTTTACTACTGCGAGGAACTGTGCACGTGAATCGGTCAAGACGTCCTCATAGAAGTCGGCATCTTCGTTTCATAACCAGGTTTCAAGCCTTTTCGGCCAGAATGGAATGAACTGGAATGAGGGTGATGCCATAGTCTTGATCTTAAGTATCTTATGTAACGAAAAAGGAACGATGAAAATCCTTCTGCATCTTTTTTGTTGAACAGTATTGTCAATTATTTGTTCCTTCTCCCTGTCATGTATTTTAACCTTTGTTCAGATCTCGTTTAACCACACCTTTTGTTCTTCAGTCTTCCTCGTCTGAGCCTTTATTATGTGATTTTGATCAAAGACTTATCTTTTGTCCCCCAAGTTTCTATTGCATGTTGCCGGACTATTGCCAGTAATGTCGTGTTTGAATAAGCTCAAGGTCACGGCGTTGTTCAGTGTGTGAATGTTAAACTTTTGACTGTCTGCTTGAGAGGATTGCTGGAATCCCTGCGGATAGACAAATGATCCCATCTTGTTGGGAATATTTTTATTGATACTCAGGTATCAAATCCTTTAGTTTTAACTGTTTCCTTCATTGTGAAGTGCGCTACTTTGCGTTGCAGGAACTGCTGACTGTATAGCACAGGCTGTACCGTTTGAGGTATTTTGTACTTTTGATATAATTTGTTCTGTTTTCTAAATTAGAACCGTTTATATTGAGCACAGAGTTTGTGTTTCGATATAATATAGCACGAGTATCTCAGAAAAGCGTTGTGCACTATGCAGAGGAACATGGTCTGGTCTATACAAATGAATTTTGGTTCGTCAGTCCGGCGTTCCAACCGAATACTGGTTGTTCGGTCGTTACACCTTGGAAGTCTGTTCTGTCATGGCGAATATAAAGCACAGGAATGAACGAGGGAAAATATTAAGAAGTACAGAAAAATAACAATATATAGCATTACAGTAAAGCAATGATATATTAGGTTCCAAAACGGAACAGACCCACAATTTACGATATGATGTAGCAGTTCGCATCGGCTCACAATGAAGATAGCACAAGTATTTGTCATTTGATAACACATTAATCAGTAACGCCTTCTGTAATTGAATCGTGCCCACCTAGTGAAATCAAAAATCACGTGGTTCGGAGATATATTTGACAAGTTACCAATATATCGAGAAGTGGTTGGTCTAAACTGGATAGCTTTTGCACGAGACGTTGAGCACCTCGTTCCCACTCGTGTTCTGGTGCAGATGCATGACCGAGCAACTTCAGTTGGGTCAGTCTATTAAAATTAATGTCGTCAGCATCAAATGTCGAAGATTTGCAGAGCTACGGATTTTGGCACAGCTATGAAACTTCTGACGTTTGGAACAAACTTGATGTACGCGTCCTCTCAAGGTCATAGTTTACAGCAAGCGCTCTACGATTTCACTTTATAACAACTATAAACTTAATAAGCTGGGAAACTTTTGTGAACCAACAAATGTTGTAATTCATAGATCATGCCTGTAAAAACGGTGTGTACCTGCACATGCAGAAATATATTATTATTATTATTTACCGCTACAAGTTTTATGGCATCATTTTTGTTGCTGGTGGGTCTACTGAGACTTAACAACTCTAAAATTCTAACTTTGACTTGCCGAAGAGAGACTGTATGACGGAAGAAGCTTTTCGAATTGCAAGCAAACTTACCGATTAGACATATGTTTTACGTAATATCATCTTATATTATGAACTTTGAGTACTGGTCCCTTTCCTGTCTGTATATGCTGTCGGATCTCAAATCCCTATTGTTCAACAGGTGTATGATCACTGATTGTTACCGAAATCATCCAAAAGACAGATCAATGAATATTCAACAGTTTACTGATTCTCATTAACATCGAGGGTAGTTGATGAGCACCAACAGGTGTCGAATCCCATTTTGTTTTCATTCTATCAACAACGGTACATTTCTCTTGTGTATGTATGTATATGTTATCTTGTTCAGTTCCCTGTTTCCACTCTCGTGAAGTCAGTTAAGTGCAAGCTGAAGATTGATTCTTTTGAAATTCAATACTTTAAACTCATTCTTTTGATTTACTGAACTTAATGATATACAATTACAAAGTGCCAAGTTATCATGTGGAATTTAAACTCTATTCGTAAATTATTCCAAGCAGTATCGCTGTCTGATAATCTGGAGAATCTTTTTCATTGTATACACTTCCTAAGTAATTCTGTATCTGTTACTTTCTCTACAACCACTCAGATCATAAAACAATAATGATATGATTAGAATCCATTTCGTCAACTTATTCTTTTGAAACGATTAACTCAAGTCAGTTTATTCAATGGAGATCATGATGAACAGCTTCTGCTGACCAGATTTTGATAGTAAGACAAGATGAAAATGTACGACTTTACATGATATGAAGCATATCATTTCAACCTTAATAATATATTTGCTCCATATTCAAATACCGTATTATCGACGTCAATAATATTATCAGTAAAAGGCACTGATTTTTAATTCATATCATGAACCGATCAATTTCGGATCGCCATTGAAAACCTGGATGCACTGGATGGCCATTTTGGATTATTACGGGGCTCCTCAGCGATGCACATCTACGATCCTGCATAAGGAATTCGAGACTAAGACCACCGATCATCCGAGCGAGCATTTAGCCTCTAAACTGGGATTTATTGTTGCTAAAATCCAACTTTGACCAATCCACAATTGGACGAAATGGTCGTCCAGTACTTTCACATTTTCACTGGTAGCCAACCTTCAATCGGCTAGTGATGAAAATAAAAAATCAATTATATTCAAACAGTTCGGAAGTGCTGCTTGGGTTTTATATGAGTATCTAAAATGACAGAGGATGAGCAGTAAAAAGCAGAGCCCACTCAGGTGCCGCTTATAGACGAAGAACAAGACTTAAACACAATGTCAAAAAACCGTCTGCTCACCATGGACTCTGATCGAGACGATGTACTCAAGGCTTTTGGAATCTTAGGCACGGAAATGTTAGCAAGACTGGATAAATCACATCCTAAAATCCTGAGACAAATTGCACAACATATTGCAGCCTCAAGAATAGTTGAGTCCTCAATGTTACTACTACTTCTCAAATCGGTTAGGTTCATTGTCTTGGAAAGTGTATTGTTAGCATTATTCACAACTTTTATGACCAAGTTGAGTCTGAAGGTATATTAGATATCTAAAAAGCTTTCATGAGCACGTATGTTGAGTCTAGATGGAATTGAACTTAAGGAAACTGTATATTGGACGATTCTGGTGCTTATAGTTTGTATTAGTGCGCAACGTTGGGATTATCACATGAGTCTGTTATCGCGGCTATTTCGCACTTGGTACTCTTCGAACTTTATGGTTTCCTAGCATAAAATCAATAAAAGTCGTCTGAATAAACTTTTGGATGCTTATGACAGTCGAAAAAAAGGTGGAGAACTGGGTCCAGGGTGGTAAACGTCAAAAAATTGACGAACTTGACGATATTTTGGTGGTAGGTGTACATCTCCTTCAATGTTCTTACGTCAAGGATATTACGGGTTATTCTTTCTCCCACTTGAGGACCACTTTTGTGTACACTGGGTTCGTTCTAACATGCGGACTGTTGAGACTAGTTTTTCACTGGTTTCCGCACTGGATGCTGATGTGTATGTATAATAAGTGCGCTTTGATGGAGGCTGAGAAGATTCTCGTTCAGGTAAATATCTTCAGTCCTTAGGGATACATAATCCTGGGACTTAAAACTTGAGCCGTGATTAAATTTCTCTTGTAGGATATCTATGGTGTTTACTACATGCATGATGTGATCGTTGACGTTATTGAAGGAGTGAAGTAAGAAAAACTTGTGTTTTCTGACTCATTATAACAGTTATACCAGGAGGTCTTACGTCCGTAAGCCTGTGTCTTTCATGAAGTCACGAATGATGAGCACTGAGAATGTTAGTATAGATTTATAATGATCCTTTTTTAGGATGGTAGGATGATGTGTTATTTCATTCACAAATGTTTAAAGTACGTATGGAATGGCGAGACTCACCGTTTCGAGCTCATCAGGTAAAGTTAATTTTAACGTTATCTCACGTTCATTTCGTATAACTTATGTATGGCTAACCGATTTATATTATCTATCCACTCCAATGACCAGACGTTTAGTTGTTAAAGCGCTTTTCCCTCGAATAGTCTGTCGGTTTACGCCCTGTTTCATTCGGCACGAATAACAGTGAGATGGTGAAACCTCATTCTTTATCCTAGGTGGTTTATTTACTAGTCTTTTTTGTCTTGCTAGATATCAAACGAGGTTTTAAATGTAATCGAGCCGTTCGAATCTTCTAATAAGTGAATAGTTGTCGGTATTTGTTTTGTCATGGTTTTCATATTTTTTGTAATTGTTTCTCTTAACACGAATCATGATTTTACTGTTGACTACAATTTTCTCAGTTAATTGATGTATTTCAATTTCAACGTTTATTAGTTGCCTGATGACATACGTCAAAATTCCCTAATCTTCATTTTTCTTCTGTTCATGGTTTCAAATTTCATCTATCGGATCTGAACCTTTAATTGCCTGAGTACGTTTATTTAAGCTAAAATATTTAGTAACTTGAAAGCCAGTTAGTGTTAATAAATGGGAAGACTGCTTTGTCCGGCATAATTCTCTTTACGTCTACATTTTAATTTTTAGGTAATATATGGCGTTTCTCGTTATTTGACGTTTTGACTTACATTAATTTAATCGGTTATTTTAGGGTTTTTTAAATTCTGTGGGTAGTCGTTCTTCCGAATGAATTGGCAGACTTATGGTGTTTATTATTACTTATCTGATTGGTCAAACAAACAATCCACAGCTTAGTTTTATTATGCAGGTTCCTAATATGTATTTGGGAAGTTAGATAGAGTCAATTCGGTGATTTAATCGTTGAATTGTACTTAGGTAGGAATGCAATTGGACGAATTTTTAGGACGCTTTTACGTCAAAAAGACATTAACTTTGAATTATGCTAATACAAGCAAGACAATGTATATAACCGACTGATTACATGTCTTAAGTCATGCCCTTTTTATATTAATTCAGCGCTCTAGCCCATTCATGACTAACTTATGGAGACATATTAATAGAAAAACTCACCTCTCATTCTTAGATGCTAATGGAGTCGAATTATAGCGATTAGACACTGAACAACAAACTTCACATCTTGTTTATTTTTTATTTAAATTTGTTGTAGACATTTTTTGAGGTAACATTCATCTAACTTCTCAAAGGTTGATCTCTTATCATGAATTTGACTAATTAACTTGTAGGTGACATCGTTCCTTTTCGTGATGACATTAAATGCTATGTCCTCTGATCTCCTTAAGAATCATTACAAGTATAGTATTAGGTTTTCTCTAAATAGGTTTCTCTAAATACAAAATATTGCTTTAGGACAGTTCTGCATCAACATGAGCTAATGATGGGAAGGGAAGTAGTAGAGCTTTTCAATCACTATGCTCATCTTGGGAGTTTTATCAGCTCCGATTGGTTTTTATGACGAAATGTCGGCTTGTATTCAGAAAGCCTGGTTGGCTTTTGCTAACTTGCATCACTTGTGGCCTAGGAGAGATCTCTGTCTACTAGGTAAATGGCAAGTATACTGCTGCTCTGGAATCTACTCTGATATTTTCACCTTGTTGCACGGATAACGCGTGAGAACTCGAACCTATTTACGTACGCGCCAGGTTTTGCATTGCTTAAAATTGACTAACGATTTCATATCCAGCATTCACAGAGGTGATGCATTCTTATTCTCTCAATCTTCAGTCCTCATAGCCAGTACTATTGCCTTGTTTCGCTTCCTCCATCATTCGTTTTGTTTATTTCATTTCGTTGTTACAATGTGGCAAGTCAATTCGTACCAACCCACATTTGTGTCATCCAGTAAGTTGAGCATAACCTACTGAATTATGAAAGTTAAAAAAGTGGGTTCTGAAATGGCACACCCTCTGCTGCACAGATTTTCAGCATCATAAATTTTTCAAAAAACGGCGCTAATGCTCCAAAATTGAAACGCCGAAGATTCCTTGTGATCGGCTTTACGACGTTTCCTCGTGCAAACTCAAGGTCGACATGGTCGTAAGTAGTGGTTGTGTTTCTCATTGAGATGGGTGTGAGAGGCTGGGGATCGTAAATTATCGACATTCGACTTCATCCCGGTTAACGTCAATCCCATTTCCTATTTTTCGGATCCTCTTTTATTCACCAACTCTTCATTTTCATCATAATTTTCTTCCACATGGTAAGGATTCTAGCCTACAAAATGTTGTCCGCCGTCTTTTAAAGCTCCACTCCAAACTATGTGTTGAAACTTTCTGTTTGCAAACCATGTATCATACTGCACAATAGACTTCATCAGTTGTACTCGTCAGCAAGTTACTGAGTACTTATGATAATGGCAAGTGCGAAAAGTTAGATTTACATGTAGAGGACACATACGTTTCCGATATTTGTTTGTATATAGTAGGACGCTAACTGGGAAACGTTGGCGATAAACATAGAACACTTAGTAAATTTAGTAAAATCGTTTAGGTTGTGAACTTTCATAAGCGTTGTTTGAGAGACGGTTCACGTGTCCCCAGCGATTCCCTACCTCGTACACTATTGACTGGTAAAGCATTGGTTTTGGACGAGGCTACAGCCCACTCCAAAAAATACGACATTGGTCCGTATCGTGTCGGGAGTTTTAGTCTTCTCGATCTGGGTCCATGTGAGAATAGTAATCTCTGGTCAAACAGCATTTGGTTAGGAGTCGGTCTCATTTGAATATACATTCTTTCCTTATCTTGATAGAAATACCTCAAATTGCCTAGCTTTTGTCAGTAAACGTTGAATTCTGTCATGTTACTGTAACCACAACGAAATTTTTCCTAATCTGTATTTCTACACGATCATTGTTGTTCTCTAACAAATTTCTACCACTCTAAGTTTACTTTCTTGACTTAAGGTCATGTTTTGTTGTTTTATTCGTCACACAGTTCCAATTTAGATTTGAATTCGTTAAATGTCAGGCATTTTCTCCACCCATTTGTTCTTTCTAGGTTTCCTCGTTTGGGGATAATTGTCGAGGCGTTATCGGTCGTACTGTCAAGTTCTCATTAGTTCCCGTTCATACTAGAATAGTCTTTCGTTCGTACTTCGAAATTGCCGTAGACCCGTTTGTAAACAGAAGCATCTTCATCTAGATCTCTTAGATAAAATAATACAAACTGACTCATTCACTAGGTATTTGGATATGAGGCACATTCTAGATGGGAGGACTAATGATACTATCCGGTTAACAAAACCCCAAGTAAATGTGAATTGTGGCATCCTAAATCGATGCAATTGTAAGGTAGTTCCTGTGGTTTTTTAGTTTATTTACCTTCGTTTTTCAATTTTAAATAGTGAACATTTCTTAGTGAAATGTTTAGTTCCTACATGAGCTTTTAGGAAATATCGTCATTGATTGGGTCCTTGTGGTTTCATTTCAGAAGATACTTCACTGCCTAGTATTGGCCCACTTACTCATTTTGTCATAGAATTTTCTGTCACGTGTTGAACATTATGGCAGTTGATGACAACTTACACTTTGTTTTGAACAGTTACAATTGTGCATTAGGAAGAAATTTAGTCCCTGGAAATTTAACCTTTAAATTCGACTTACCTCTGTTCACTCTTCATAGGGACTGGCATAGAAAGAAGCTAGTAGGAATATTCTACTATGTAAACACAGTGTAGAAATTGTCAAAGTATTTTCTGCTATATTGGGTTTATTAGATGCAATGGAACTTGAAAAGAATATTTTGTCTCTTTCGAATTTTAGGGGCTGGCATGAAACTACATATGAAGAAATTCTGGATTCTAAGCCTTTGAATAACGAAACAGTCCTTATGAATCGTGCGTTGTATGGAATGAATGAAATAAGTATCAATCTTACTTCAATTGTCAGGCTTCTACTTGATGAGGTATGTTGGTCAGATTACGCATTGAATAGTTTTGTACAATTTGAAGGTTGATTTGGTTATGGGTACTGGATACGTAGTTGTTATGCTTTGTATATTACACTCAGTTTTTCTATACTTTGTTTTTATGTAGTGCTTGAATCCATTCTACTGTTTCCAAATATTCAGTTGTATTTTGTGGTATTCTGAAGAGTACTGGACGTACGCTACTTGTATTGTTGTTATTTCAATTATGTCACTATCATGGCAAGTTTATGAACTACGTAGAGTAAGTAACCACTTTCTTATCCTAACGGTTTTTAATAAATGATGGTCTTGTTTTGATGTACTGGTCCAATGATTTACAGAATGCTTTGATTATCAGGACGCTACTTGTTCACCGATCTTATCTACTATAGTTTAAATAGAAAAGCCGTACCATTATATTATTTAATAAGTGTGGTTTGGGGCTGAACACTTCGATTTTTCTTACTTATTGGGAAGTTTTGGCTGTTTTTTTGCATGATTTAATTGTCAAAGGAATGTAATATGATAATGGATTGATAATGTCAAGCGGTGCGAATGAGATAGCTAGTTAACTGCTTTGTAACCTCCATTTAAATTTTTCGATTAACGTGTAGTCGAAAAGAAAGAACAGCTGACTACATGACCAATTTTGTCATTCTCTTCCCTTCTGAATACAAAAATGTGAAATGATTAGTTTTGATAGTGTAACCTAGTAGTAGTATAACCTATCCACATGAAATGATATCTAAGAGTCAGTAAATATCGAGTGAGTCAAAAACGTTAGGCATCGATCTATGTTAGGTTTGTTATTATAGTTTTATACCTGTCTACTAAATATAAGTTTGATTTAATCTCAGCAGTTGTACTAATTCGTAATTGAGGTCGTAAGTCCTTACCATTCCTCTCATTTTGTATTTATTCAAGGGCTAGACTGCGCCACATATTAAACTGTGTATATGTATGATGATTTGTTTGTGGTGTTTTTCGAACTAGATTAAATGAGTTGCTTTACAAAGTGATAAATTAGTTCATAACGGTTTCGCCCTAAGATTTTGATAAAAAAGATGAGGATAGTTTGATCCTAATTATTCGGGTAACATGGCATGCTGTTTCATGGGGTGATTTTAACTTATATCTTTTAGCATGTGAATCCGAAAAACACTAAAATGTTCTAATTTAAAGTAAAACCATTTACAGGACAGTACGTATGCGTTTATGGTATCTATCAAATATCAGTTTCTTCCTTCGTTTCCTTAGATCCAATGAATTTTCTTGGTCAGTATCATGTGATAAATTCACACATGGCACCATTGAATCGTGAATTAATTGAACGTAGTATAATTCCTCAGTGAAAAGTTTGTATTTGAATATTTTGAAGCAATGCTAATAATGCTGTATTTGCATACTTACGTTTCCCCATTTGTAACAAAACGCTTTTTTTGTAGAACGAAAAGACTCTTAAAGAAACTATGTGTATATCCTCTTCTGTAATCGTTTATCGAGAGGAAGATGGGGTTAAAGGTATGCATATATTTTATTTTTCTGTAATCCTTTTCATGACTTGTATAATATCTGTACTTAAATTCTGTTCGTTTGATTGTTGCGACCCATGATTTCTGATTGCTAACGTTATTGTGCAGTAGCCGAATATAAGTCAACAAGAAAATAAAACAGAAACGAAGGGTGTTATTCTATTTTAGATTGGTAAGATAAAGCTTGATTGGATTTGAACTGTTGTGGCAGATTCTGAATCATACCATTTAACCTCCCAAATCTCATTGTAATAGTCCCAAGTATTTAATTGAAGGGAGTTTTTTTTAGCTCTCGACCGTCAATTGTGTATAATGGTTGTTGTAATAGACGACTTAACTGTGAGGTGAAAACGTTTGGAGCTATTTTTCAATGATTTTACTTGTGTTTATTTACTCCATGTTTATTCAGTATTTTGGTTTTATTATTCTCGTATTTCCTAGTTCAAAGCTTTTATTTGAATCACGGATCCTTGCTATAGCATTTTTCACTCATAAACTAGACCGATTATTTGTGTATCAAATGCTCTATTTTTCCTATCAGTAATGTCGTTGTTCCGTGTTGATACATATTGCAAAATTAGGTTAATACTTGAGATTTAAATATAGTGTAACTCAACCCAGATTTCTTAATAAGTTGTGGTTGGTAAACTCGTTTACTAAAGTGAGATTTCCTAGACAATTTCTACCCACCTTCAAAGCAACTTATCTCTAGTTCCATGAGTAGTGCTACAAGAATATATACAGTCACAGATTCGTAATACTTGCGTGTCATTATTAACAGTAGTTTTAGATTTTTAGTATATAGTATGGAGAAGACGGGATTATACTTACCCTTTAATGTAATTAGGTACCTAACGGATCTTAAAAGTGACATAAATCTGGCAAGTGTTCAATTATGACTAATCTGTCAAAGCTATTATGGTTTCTAAAGTAAATGCAATGGTCTATATGCTTAACTTCTTCATTCCTTATTGTTAATGTTGGTATTAAGAAAAATGAGTGTTGGAATGTCTTACGTTTGGAAAGTGAAGAATACATAACGAAGGTTTCCACTTAACGCATTTAAAAGTTTCCTTTTTGTCAGTTCATTTGTGTAGTAGAAGTGTATCAGAGGTTAATCAACTAGGAGTAGGAACTGACTACAAATAATTGCACCAGTATATTTACAACAGGTCAAACAAGGATAATGATAAGATGTGCTTGTACTCGATGTGACATTCTGACTGTCAATGTTCGTAAATTTGAATTATTAGCATTATAAATGAGATTTTTATCTATTTCTCATGTAGATGCACTGCTAAGTTAATCAAGAACTTACTCAACTTTTGTTAATGATTTTAAATCTTTATTAGTAACGGTAACCGGGAGTACGTTATTTGAATTAATTTTTTTGCATGACCTTTGTTTTTTTCTGATTCGTTTCCACTACTTTGAGTTCCCTAATTTTAATTGTGCTTCAACTTTATGCTTTCTTTCCTACTTACACTGGTGTTCCAGCCAGAAACAACTGATGAAGCTTTCTGGTGGATGTACTAGTCCTTCTGTAAAGGATTCCGTTTTTTGGGGCTCACAAATCCACCACGTGAATGTGATTTAGTGGGGACCGCCACCCAACGGGTCTTTACATGCATGATGGTATCGCACCAAAAAAAGTAAAGAAGTGTGCGATTTAACTTGCCCTGAATATGTTTAGTCTACTTGCATACTAGTTAACACATGAACTTCCAACGGTTTATCACATAGCATACATGCAGATATACATACCACGTGAGCAAATATACGTTACATGCACACTGGTAACAGGTTTTACCCCGTGCATCTCATAGCATACACAGGTATATTTGTCCACCTGGGAAGCTAGATGTTCACCGCTTCCAAATAAGACGTATTTGCTACACCAAACTGAATTACATATTGTATGCACATCATTCACACTTTGACTACCGCCCGATTATATCCTGACAAACACATAAGCATAAGCACTCTCTCAGGAGAGGTGGTTGGTTTCCTCACCCTAGTATTTACTAACGCCTATTTTTATTATGTCTTTAACCTGATAGCTAGGCCATTGATTTTACTAGACATGGCAGATATTTTCGCAGCTCAACGTTTCCTTTGTACTACATATGCGTACCTTTTGCATATACCTATATACTTGAACTATATAGGTCCAAGAAGTTCTACAATTCTCATACATAAGCATACACATCGTGTAGCCCGGCTGATAAAGTGAGCCTCGAGTATAGAACCGAGGATTGATCAGATGCAACAGAGTGAGTTATCGGCCCGATTTCTGCGACCGCCTAAGTTGGCTAGCGGGGCTACCCCCACCGTCCAGCAGCTCCACCAGGAGGCCTTAGGTCGGATTTTGCTGTCGCTATTTACACTGAGTCGTACTATTTCTGTTTGCTCCTCTCGAATATCAAGTTTTCCCCACACTTCATCTTTTTATGTTAGTGGCTAGTTGTTGAAGTGTTATATGCCAGCTGTTTAGTGGGTCCACAACTGAACTGTTCACATTCGAGAGTACCCTAATCGTTTTTTAATCCAAAAGTATTGTAAACCAACCGGAAACGTCAGAAATTAATCATTATTATCAAAATTTAACATAGATAAAGAGCATTACTTATTTGTGTAGAAGTGGAAAGTATATTTTGTTGTGTAATAAGAGCAAAGCGACTTTCTTCATTGTGAAATGTCCTCTTTGCCTAACCATAATACAGTCATTTGAATAATGCGTAGTTTGAAAATACACATTATCTAGTAGTATGACCTTATACAATGAACTCAGTCATGGGATTTGTGATGTCTCTATCTCACGATTTAACAAAAATTAATTAATTGTATAGTAAGCAAAGATAGATGGTGGCTAGTAATGTAATCCAGGATGCGTTTTTCATCCTATTTGGCACTCTTTAGCTGGGTTCTAGCCCTGTAGTGAACATCAAATCTGGGATACAGGTGCATCCGGCTGAATTGTCCAAAATAGGACGAAACGCGCGTATGGATTCCGCTGCTAGCCACTATCCATATTTGCTCGTGTGGCGTATATATATTTGGTGCGCTCTTGTGCCAATATTTGTGCGATTTAAGGCAATATCGAGACAATCCTCTCAGGATGCACGTATGACAATAAGAGACTGATCAGTTGCAATGTTAAACATCAATGGAAAGTTTCAAACAAACAATACAAAAATGAAATATTGATTGTATAGTTTCGATGAACCGTTCTTTTAATCCCTCAAAATGGTTATTTTAATTTCCTTAACAGTAAATATTCAGACGTAATAATCCATTTGTTTAATAATATTTGAGAAGGAATGTCTCATAAATACTTATTTTCACAGAATTCAAAGAAGTGGATTCCATTTCATTAGTTCCCGGTGATATAATCGAAATTCCACAAAACGGGTGTCTGGTTCAATGTGATGCCATCTTACTAGCAGGAAACTGCATAGTAAATGAAAGTACATTGACCGGTGAGTCACATTAGTATAATGTTACTGTATATATGGATTCATTAATATATGAAGTTATGTCAACCATATTCTTAACTCAGTCTTTTGAGTCCTCAAATGAAGATTGCTGTAAAAAATTATGTTCTTTTATCCCTTTTAATCGTTTATTTCATATATTTTGGTTTTACATAATTCTCCTCAAGCACTCCATAATAATAATTATAATGATTATAACGATAACAGTGTTCCTTATTTAGAAAGTACAGGTTCACATACTACTCGATCTTAAGTTTTAGTGTTTTTGTGAGGTGTATTGGTTTTTCGGGACTGGTCACACTGAAATGTGATTTAGACCTGTGACCTTATGATTACGAACCGAGTGCAGTAACCGCTTGTTCGTTGGTTCCCTATCGATCCCTTAAAGCACTCTGTTTGTGGATCGTCACACTACAAATATTGATAATGATACAATATGAATTATTTAGAGTACCAACGTCAAAATATATAATCTGTATAGTGTTTCTTTATTTTTGTGGACTGGGAAATATTGTTACAGAACTAGGATACATCGTCATTAAAGTCGTTCGAGAGGAAATAGGTCTCACTGACCACTGACGATGTTTTTGTTGTACATGAACTACTATGTAACAAAATAAGCAGTGTAATCTATGCATGAACATGAAAAGATGAGTGTGCGCTTTTGCATGATGGCGAGATCGTTTTTGCTTTGTGTGTGGTTGGTGTGAAACTTTGGAGATGTTCATCAATAACTTTGTCTGGAAGTAGCCACCATTAATTCATCTTACAGTAATGTTGTGAATAACATTGTATTAGAAATTAATGTCATTTGTAGACGATTTTTCCAGTGATAAAACTTCTACTGTATAAATAAAAATAATATATTTGTAATATCTCAATAAGTAGAAAATTGGATTTTCTGACGTTTCGTGACTTAGTGTAAGTCACTTCTTCAGAGAATAAATAACCAAAATAAAAAATTATGTTGTTTTATCCATTTTAATCGTTTATTTCATATATTTTGGTTTTACATTTTTTTGGCTATTTATTCTCTGAAGAAGTGACTTACACTAAGTCACGAAACGTCAGAAAATCCAATTTTCTACTCATTGGGATATTACAAATATATTATTTTTATTTATAACAATGAACCCAATGCTCAATTTATTCGAAATTATCAAATCAAACCTTGGTAATGACACCTACTGTATAAGCTTAAGACAGAGTTTTGTAAAGGAGAACTCAAAGTGTGTAGAGTCTTCAAGAGATTTCACCGAAGTAAACAAAATTCAACGACATGGTTTCCTGTATCTGGGTGCGTGGAGCGTCATTTATTTTCGATATTTGAGCTTGAGAAATACTTCATATTGTTAAGTTGATTTTTGTGTTGGGTTTAAAAGCAACTGTATTTGAATGCCTGGATGCTGGGATTACACACATGTATTTTGTGGTGCGAACTCAGTTTATTTCCTTTACTACAAATAAGTAAGAAGTACCCTCATCCGAGCAACAAATATGATCAAAAAGCCTAAACATGATTTCCCATTTGCTCTCCACTTTCTCATCATTTAAATAGTTCAGTACAGTGAGACACAGTGAAGTAAGGTACTGTGCTTGTTTTCAGTATGTTTTCTTGTTTATTGTGTTGTCTACACAAATAATGTTTCATTTTCAGAGAGTTGATACGAAGTGCTAATTTGAAAAAGTGACTATATCAGTTGTTATGAATACTTTGCTGTTCTAATTACTCGAAATTCACTGGATTATATTGATTTTCACTTTGGACTTTGTGTTCAAGGCCATATTAACCGCGATGTATTTTCAAATAATTTCGTTTTCTAATTAAGGTGAAAGTGTTCCAGTTACCAAAATTCCCTTACCCGATTCACCATCAAAGGGTACGTTATTCGATATCAAAGTTCATGGTCGGCATATTTTATTTGCTGGTACTACTGTTATTCAAACAAGAAATTATGCAGATGAGCGAGTTCTGGCTGTTGTTGCACGCACTGGCTTTTACACTGTCAAGGGTGAGCTTGTACGGTCAATTCTGTTTCCGAAACCTCTGAAATTCAAATTCACCCAAGATTCCTTCCGGTTTATTTTTGCTTTGTCTATTCTTGCTGTGGTTGGTTTGGGAGTTTCAATCTACTTAATGGTAAGTAGGGATGTTTTTGTGCAGAATGTGTAGTTGTTTTCACCTGTCATTTGGTTACTGATGCTTTTCCACCATTCATTCTTTATCTCGTCCACCTTTACAATACAATTTGCTCATTTGGGGATTTAATTTCTGGTTTAAATATATTTTCTGTTGGATTGTGTAAAGTTTAGCCTATCGTATATTGACTATGGTAGCCATGTAATTAAATCGCTTCTACGACACTATCCTTTGGAGAACCTGGATAACCTACTATAATAAAGTCTCTAGTTTTATTGATTTACATATGAAGATGACAAAGTCCTTTTTGGTGGGTATGGTGATGAAATTCAGAGTCATCTGATATTGTGTCTTTTTACCACTTCTACGTGGGTGACCTCAAACTAGCTTTTTTTCTTTGTTTAGTAAATGTTGTTTTGTCGTTTGGTGATACCTATGGTGACCTTGATTCAATATTTCCCCTATTGACGTTAGCTGTTTCCTGGTTGGATAGTTTCTTTTTATGTTATCATGTTTCGCATTTGTTATGGTACTCAATCTACTACAAAGAACTTATTTGTGTAGTTCTTTTTTCTTTCCTTGGACACTCGCTTTCAAATGATCTAATTCTTTCCTCTTATTACCTGTTTTGGATGCAAATGCGGTTGAAGCATTTTTTGTCACACACCAGCTGTAAATATTAGTTACGTGTAATAAAAAAAATAATTGGATTCCATTTTTTAGGTGTCGTACTTTTATGTTCTTTAAAAAATTCCAAATGTTTATCACGGTATGTTCGAAAAGATCTGGTCAAATTCACCGAAAGTGTACTAAGAGATCATGATTTAAGAACTCAATGAATAAAATCCTTCTGTTGACAAGCATCACAAATGTTCTTGTCACTCATTGTATCCAAAATGATTTAATATAACTGTGGGTTTACTTGGGATAAAGTACGAATGAACAAAATTTCCACGAATTAGCATTGGAATAAAAGTTACATCAGATAAAGTACACTTATTGTGTACTTCTTCCACATCGTGTCATCACTGTAAGATTCTACAGTGAACTTTGTTTTATGAATTTTAAGAGATTTTAGTGTTGCTCACAGGCGGCTTTTACTAATATAGGTCCCTATTTGGTGAATTCTGTCTGACAGTACTCTTTGAATTTCTTTCACTCGTGCCCATTTTATAAGCCCATCAACGTATTGCGTTGTTTTTGAACCATCTTATCCTACTGCCTTATACATGCGAATTATGAAAATAATGTTTGTCACAAATGATAGGAACGGCTAAAAATGACAACGAATGATGTTTATTGTAATCTTATTGATAAGTCTTCTAATTGAACATCAGATTCAGTTCCTAAGCTCTTCTAGTAACCCCCAGGTTAAATCTACACAGCAAGTTGAACACGGGAAAAAAGGCGCGAATTTTGGAAAATTCACTTTACTTCAAAGATTTGTTTTATGTACAGAAAATCTAATGTTTTTATAATATTTCAGATGGCCTTGGGTTTCCGGCATATTATGGGACGCTACCAAACGTAGTAGCAGCATAGGTAATTATCCAATCAGAAATTCGACATGTGACTTTTCATTTTACAGATGTTTCTGGCGAAACTTTTAATGAACACCGATTGGTTGAGATGCTTCTCAGTATTTTCAGTCTTTTTTTACCTTCCTTCGAGGTTTTCTGGATCTCTCTAACACTTATGTGCAGGAATGGATGTCTACATGCTCACCATAGGATTCAAATCAATCAGTCAGCAGCAACGTAGAACTTTGTACGTACGTACGTACGTACATCAATTCGAGTTGCTATACTACAGCACAGAAATACAATTGTTGATTCAAATCCCATAGTGGTAGAGGTAGTAAAATTATAAGCAGTAATCGGAAAGATTAGGGTTTGAAGATGTTATACAAGGAGTATAATCTAGTGAAATACATTTGGAATGAGAAAAAAAGGGAACAGGAATTCAGAAGATTAGAGTTCTGGAGAACTCAAAGAGTGGATGCACCTGCGCTATTTCAAACGATTTTGAGCCATGTCATTCAAGGTCTCTAACCGTCGGTTGCTACCGCTTTGAAATGGATGTCATTAATTGTTTTTACTGAATATTTCTAACCCTTTACTTTCAAATTTATTTCAAACAATATATGGGTGGCATGTATTCTCAGTTTAAGCATTTTTAGTACTGATTATTACCCAATTTGATGTCTCCACTATTACTCGCATATTTGACACTATGAAATGTAACTGAATATAATGAGTTTATTATGAATTTTTTTCAAATGATTGAAATTGCTGTTTTAGATCAGAGTTAATGTTGGTGTTGGTGACATTATCCGTCGAGCGTTAGATTTAGTTACTGTGGTGATACCACCAGCCTTACCTGTTGTAATGACAGTAGGAGTTGTTCTGGCTCAACGACGTTTGCTATCGCATGGGATTTTTTGTGTCAATCCAACCGTGATCAATGTTTGTGGAGTAATCAATGTAGCTTGTTTTGATAAAGTAAGACTTTTCTCGCTGCTTTCAGCTTGTTATTATTTCTGACCTGCCTTTCTAGAGTTTAATATGAGTGACTGTTTTGACCGTTTGTGTGCACCTTTAAGAATGAATCCATTTAAGTTTATGAATCCCCTTACGATAAAGGGTTTGTTGGATTGGAATGCGTCCAAATGCCCCGGTGAGGCCGAGAGTGGAGAGAGTCAGCTATCCCTCTCGAAATGCTCTGAAGTGGCCACATGCATACAACCACCACCAGGGAAGTCCTACTCACTGCCTTCTCGCGGCGCGGGTGCTGTTTTCAAAACTGAGAGGACGAAAAGCAAATGTCTGGCGCTTTAACTCGGTTGGTGGAGATTGAGAGTCCATCTAGAGGACTTAGAAAACCCTGATTCCAAACCAATGGTGCACATGGGCTCCAGTATTCTGATGGAACGAATGGCGTACGAGCCGATGGTTGGTCACCGGCTACCATGGGACTGCATCTCCTGACGTTGTCCCACTACCTTGTGGATTAGACCTTTAGGTTAGAGACTCGGGATGTGCCCACTTAAGAAAACCACCTGCACATGGGGTGTATCCCAGCCCTCACACGCAAATCAAATGATGATTTGTGGCGCATATTTGTTTGGTCCCTCCTTTTACCAATGTTTATATGTTTAAATAAGTAAATAGGTTGGAAACCGCGACATATGATGTTCTTACTATATTTATCTCCGAAGTGAATTTCGATTCAGTTGTCTCCGGGGTCTTGAATTATGACCAGTTAAGCTAAATCTGTCTCATCGGTTAGAAATTATTATTACTACACATAAATAAGATATTACTTCCTACCAAGCTTGGGAGTTTTGTTATTTCACTTTTATTGTACGAATTCCCCAATTATTTTCGAATCGTATCGCACTTACTTACTTACTTACTTACTTACTTACTTACTTACTTACTTACTTACGCCTGTTACTCCTCGTGAAGGAGCATAGTCCGCTCACCAGCATTCTCCATCCAACCCTGTGCTGGGCAATCTTTTCTAGCTCCGTCCAGTTGTAATTCATCGTTTTCATATCTGCTTCTATTATCCGACGCAATGTGTTCTTTGGCCTTCCTCTTTTTCGCTTCCCTTCAGGATTCCAAGTTAGGGCTTGCCTTGTCATGTAGTTTGACGATTTGCGTAATGTATGTCCTATCCATTTCCATCGTCTTTTCCTAATTTCTTCTTCAGCTGGAAGTTGGTTTGTTCTCTCCCACAGAAGGCTATTGCTGATGGTATCTGCCTGTAGCTCTTATAGGGTTACTGCCGATCCCAAGCCCGGTTAAAGGAGGAGGGTTGGGCGTGGGGTTAGCGTCCCCATCCCGTAGAAAACTAATAATCCAAACCATTTAAACTCTGCCCTAGGAGTTAGAAGGTCTTCAGTTAGAATCGTATTGTGTATACCTAATATTTTTTACTACCACTGATGGTACTACCACTTCGGTATTCACCTTGATAATTTAATCTTTCTGTGTCGTTGTGGTGTGTAAAGTTGGGCCGATTCATATTTGTGCTTGATGTGCTACATTGCTTATGATTGACTATTTGATGTAGTTATCTTAATGTCGTCAGCTAAATAAATTTTCTCCAAATAACGAAATTCAGACTTTTCTGGTAGGCTACTGATTACGGAAGTTACTGATAGCAGATAATGTTATTTGGTTTTATGGGTCGGAGATAAGGGAGATTGATGTAAAACGTATAAATCAGTAAATCACAGTTTACTATCAATATGATTGTGTCGTAACTGTACTCCTTGTAAATACCAGTACTGTTCATGTACTGTAAACAAGTCGTTCAGCTAGAACTTCAAACTATTGTGTTACAGGTTGAAACTTTGTGTGGCATAGCACAGTCTATTAGTATCTTTTAGTTGTCATATAACTAGTTTACTCTGAAGTCTAATGTTTTTCTAAAAGATTTTTCTATATATTAGTAATAGTTTGACTGAGTGTACTTGTAATTGGCAAACGAATAGGTAAAATTGATAATGTTCATTTAATAAGTCACACAGCCAACTTGATCACTAATTATTTCAATTTGATATACATAGTTCCCTTTATAATCTTAAAGAGAGCAAGAACGAAGATTGGTTCAGAATAATATGAATTCATTTTATTTCGTTAGATTCTCATCTTCTGTTTACAACCTATAATATTTTAAAATCAAAGTTAATACGGATATTGATATACTCATAAATACGAAGGTGATTGGAAATGAATCCATTTGACCTTAGACTTTTCAGAATATGTTCTTTGAATCGGACGTCGACTCTCTTAATCTACCAATGTAACTGCCTTGTAGATGCACGTAAATGTGTATACACAGTTGGTGATAACATGAAAGGGATACCTATCGACCTTTGATTGTATTGAAGAACATGTTTCTTTGGACAGGACAATCAGTCTAGCTGCAGCATAAGTATTTGTCAATGCAGTTTGCAGCTTCATATTGATTGACCCCGTGACATCAACATTTTTGTTATCAAGTTGAATAAAAATAGGTTTTTCATTTACTGTAGTTTCTTGGAGTTTTTTTATCTCTACATTTAGCATATTTTTCAATTATTTAAATGCTCATCGATAATAATTATCTAATGTTTCAATAGGAAGTATGAAATCAGCAGCCATGTAAATTATTAAAAATATATCCACATGATTATATATACATATCTTCAGTATTTTTTCCAGTCTAATTTTTTCATTCATCTTAATGATGATGTTCTTTTATGTATGCTTAGGTTGTTTTATCCTTTATTTTACAACGTAATTTTTAGTTATTCTATCCTATTTCTACTGTACCGTTCTGCTTTAGACGTTTTTCTCACATCGGACTCTGAATAAATTGTAAGTGACACAGTACAAATTAGACACTCGTGTGTTCTTTTTCTTTCAGACGCCTCATAAATCTTTCATGCTTAATTATTCTATTTCGCCACTTACTTATTCCCTATTTCTTTCTTTCCATTTATCTCCAAGCTACGAGTACCAATTCAACACTATAATCTTGTTATATTACCTTATTTTAACTAACGATCTTGAAATATAGTTTTTTTTTACTTAACTCATTTTAATCCTAATACATGTATCAAGCTGCATACTAGAGCATAATTTCAGTAGTATCTATGATCTTTCTAATGTGTATAAATAAGTAGTTACTACCTGAGTGTGCCATTAGTTGTTAATTATCTAGCCTATCAGTATGTGGTTGTAGGGGTTGTTGAATTTTATTGAAATCATTAACGGATCTAAGTTAAACACTATTCAAAACCTGGAAGCACTAGATAGCCATTTCGTTCCACTATGGTACTCCTCATTAGTGCCTTTCCACAACTAAATGGTCGTCCTGTGCTTTCATGCTTTCAATGGTGGTCTAACTGAGTTGGACTTGTGATTTCAATGAAACCAATTAAGCTATTCAATGTTGATTTTAACTTTGTTTCGTCTTGAGTTTTGCTTTCTTTAAATATGCTCTTTAATACCATATGGTAGCTTTTTGTGTCATATTACGTAACGTGTTATGTAAGGGTTGTTAGCTATATCAGCTACCATGACAATTACATTCAGTTAGCTAGATTGATCAGAATCTTAGTGTTTATAATGTGAACACAAAATGAGAAAAATTAAGGACAATTTTTTGGTCAATGACTAAAATGAACTCAACTATATATGTCTATTATTAACCAAACCTAAACTTCCAAATCCACTATCAGATTATCTTAATCGTTTCATTAACGGGGTACACTGTCCAATTGTACTTCAAAAATGAAAATCATCAGCATCTAAAATACTTCATCTACTAACAGACTAAAAAATAATGATCAGTTGAATCACCTCTTCACATTACCGAAACGACTAAGCTCCGGTTCACAAAAAAGTGCTCATGAAAAGGTGCTAAAGTGAATTGGATAATTATTGGAAAAGATAGAAAATGGAAATTAACCCTAGTTTATTAAAAAAATCCAAGAATTCATCTCTGTGACTTAATAACAGTGTCGAGGTAATCTGCACATATACAATAAGTGACTGATTAATTACAATCCTAAGCGTCAATGAGAAGATTCAAACAACCAATACAAGGTGAATTCAACTTCATCTCATTTCACAAGCCCGTGGTTATTAGGACTCGGCAGCTAAGTGGATAACCCAATGGCACTTAAAGCGAACGGTACTGGGTTCGAGTCGCGAAATGTACATCAACTCTGGGATACAGGTACATCCATCTGACGAGTCCCGAATAGGACAAAGCGTGTGTCCTGAATTTCACTGCCAGCTACCATCCATTTCTGCTTATCAAGAATAAATGTACATGTATTATTGATTTTGATTTTTAAAAAATCTAGATAAACACTGCGAATATCGTGTTCTTGCCTACCTGCTGTGTTAAGCTTTGATAACCATACTGCCTTTACTAACCTTTCCATACGTCTCATCATATATTTGCTCAAAATACGAAATGTTGTTTTTCTCTATATTTCATGTTCGTTTTATTGAGCAAATATAAACTATTCCGTAATTGAAAAAGATACAAAGTCTGATTCAATAGTGATCAGCCATATATAATCCTCACTTAAGCAAGCCTCATCTCTGGATTAAAATATTTTCCTTGTTCTTAACAGTAGTATTAAAGTGGACGTAGTTAATCTGAATAGGATTGAACGAAGCCTAAATAAGTTTTGTGAAGTTCAAATGGTAATATTTCTTCATTCTTCGATATTGCCAACTAGCGTTTTGACCTGTATTAAACTATATAGACTACCACACATGAAGTTGTTATCCACTCAAATCTGATACTAATCCAGTTACCTAAGTTTTAGGGATTAAGTAATTATATATATCTTGGATATTTTTTGTGGCTTAGTATTTCATGAAAACAATTCATCTACTCATTTTGCATATCACCAGTGTTTTATAAGTTGTTTTCATGTTGCTTACTAATAATGATTGTGTTTACCTTTGGAATTTCGGATTGGATCAGAATAAAGATTGATTTTCTTCTTATCTATGTTACATGTTGGATACCGTGTTATTCCTTTAGATGTTATAAGCTAATGTAATATTTCTTGATTGTGTTTGTTGGAAAACCTCAGTAATTCCTCGGAAACTCCCTTAGAAGCTGGTAAACGTCTCAACACACTTTGTCCTTCCGACGTTCAGTAGAAACATTCGCGAGGGTTCCAGAACACGATTTGTGATATGTTTTATCCTGCCTAGATAATTACTGATTATGTCACCACACTAAGCTAAACATGTTTCGAGAACATCAAGGTCATCTATAAACCTGTAGATACATGAATTTTCTATACCTGGACCAACCTTGAAACTAGAGGTTCTTTTGATACTTTCCGACTGTTGTTTTGTGTTTGATGTTCAAGTGTAAGAAAAGTTTGTGGAGTGGATAGCGGTTAGAAAGTCAGTATCAAGTATTATGTTATTCAGAAATAAGCTTCGAGATCTAAATGAACTATAAATCTTTTCCGTTGTTTCATGTTACTTCATAGACGGGTACTTTAACCGAAGATGGTTTGGATATGTGGGGTATCATTCCTTACAAAGATGGTTTATTTGGAGATCCAGAATTAGAACCATCAGAGTTGGGTAATGGTCCTCTAATGGAATGTTTAGCGACTTGTCACTCATTGACATTGATTGAAGGAGTTCTGTGTGGAGATCCTCTGGACTTAAAGATGTTCCAGTCAACTAAATGGGTAAGGATTGTAGATGGTTCTAGTTTTTTTATACTCACAATTTTTCCTTCTCTGAAACCTAAATGTCGTAGTTACTTTGAGGTCGTTGTAGGATTCGCATATCATAACATGTGAATTAACCTACTAGATATTTTTGGTACAGGGACGAATGTTTTGATTGTGTATTCCCGCTGACAGAATGAGGGTTTGGAAAATGGTCGACTTTAAACGTAGTTGACTGTGACCCCACCGATGGTTTCAGCTATCTTTTGAGTGTTTACTACTTATTGAAAACGAGGATGTCATTTAAAATCAGTTTGCCTGGAAAATTCCACAACCTTGACTTGTTAAGCATTGTGGTAGATTCACATACAACAGAATGATCCTGAAACTGTATGAGACTGAATTTCCGGATTTTATTTCTGCTAGTTATCGAACATATTTCGATAAAATACAAATTTAGATATATTGAGGCATATTTTCCAAAATATTACAACAGCTTGTTTAAAGGATGTATGTGTATGGGTCTTCAACAACATGTTTATTGACGTAAAGAAATTGCTTGTCGATCGCGTTTTCGTTTTGTGTTGTTTTTGTCAGGAACTCATTGAAGAAGCTGCTGATCACTGTAAATTTGAAATGGCTGTCCCTGCTATCGTACGTCCATCCAGTAAAACCAGTTTGACAGAAAAGACTTCTGAAAAATTCAATGGTGATGTAAGTTATGTTATGTGGTTAAGCTGGTGTTTTTACACTACCGTTTCTTGTACTCTTGATATAAAATGCTGACTATTCCAACCTGAGAGAGAGAGAGTGTGTGTTGATATATGATCTGATGATAAAATGTGGTGTAGTGTTGATTTTTGTTCTGGACATAGCAGCTGCTCTGGTCCTTGTTGTCCTGACCTATTGAACTGTCTTGTCGTTTATTATCAGTTAAACGTCGGCTTACATCAGTTATTCAGTATCGCGATACGCCATCACTCTGTTGTAAATTCTTGAAATTGCGCAAAGTCAGACTAAACCAAACTTGTACTCATACTAAGAAAATTAACCATGAATATTCTTTTTGCAGTTAAGTCCCGAACCATGAAAATAAATAAGGTTTGAATGTGGAATACGTTTTTCGCAACGAGATGATAATGAATTCCTAGGATCGTTGTTTATGTACACTTTGAATGCTACTGCGAAACAAGACAGCTTAGTGTGTTAGAAATATCGTTAGAATAAACTGGATTAATAAAACTCCATGAAAGTCTGTTGGGGATATGTACAAACTAAGGATTTCAGCAGAGAAAACCTGTTAATCGCAATTCGTATGATATAACTTATAGATTAGTAACGGTGCTCAATTATGTTACTTATTTTGAGGAGGGATGTCGGCGATAACTATTTTTCGCTGTCGTTCATTTAACTGATTGTCTTACAAAGCCACCTACATTTACGTTCCTATATCAGCAGACATACATGTAGCACTATAGTGGTCTACAAAGTCAAAATACCTGTGGTTTGTTTTTAGATAATCTACATCGTAGGTAAATCGTGAATTTATCAATTTATAGAGATGTACTTGAAAAACATATCTATGGAGACATTGATTGTTGATAGCATCATTCACTATAATTTAAGCTGGATGTTGATTCCCATCCATTGACTCAGTGTAGTTGTAAGTAAAAGACCAATATGGGGCTTGACTTCTGTAGCGTTACGGAAGCCTTCACCTTTATTAAGAAAGATTTGCAATCATGTTTTATTTAACTATGTTAAGCTCTAAGTGAAGGTCAATTGTTGCTACTAAAGTATCTGGTTTGACATAGTTTGCCTAGCTATTCACAAAATGGTCGTTAATACCGTTTCATGGTTTAGTTCTTTAGTGATCAAACTTATTTTGAAGTACTGTTGTTATGTTTCGGCATCCTAAAACTTATTGGAATTGGGTATCATGGTCACTGCTTGCCCTTATAGACTTACGGTATCAAGTCACCTAACGTAATGCTGCGACGCAGTTGATTTTGGTAAACAATACTTATAGTGTTCGGAAAGCATAGATGGGTAGGTAGCTTATTCCAATAGATTGTAATATTTTTAGAGTTTGAGTTTGCATGTCAGCTGAGTAAATTACGACTTCCTTCTTTTCTCTGTTCTATAAAAATGCTTTTTATTGAAATCGAAAATCCTGATTTCACACACTTGTAGGATATTCCATATGAAGTGGGTATTTTACGTCAATTTCCATTCAGTTCTTCATTACAACGTATGTCTGTGATTACTCGTGCTCTCAATCAAAATCATTTCAATATCTATACTAAAGGTGCACCTGAAACTATTGAATTATTGTGCAGATGTGATACTAGTAAGTAAAATGTGAATATTGTCAAGAATTATTTTTTTTAATGTTAATACAACTGGTCAGTCATATGCAGCGTTAGACCTAACACAAACATATATCAACACAATTTCCGACGCCACTTTAACACTGAGATGAAATGATAAATATTTATACCAAAGTGGCATTAACATTATGTACGGTAAGATGATTTGGCGTGTACAATCTTGTTCCAGAAAGTTTCTTGAATTCGTGTGACAAAAAGTATTTAATCGTTTTAAAACTGAAGATGTAAAGGTAAATAAGAAATTGAGTATTTGTCGAACTTTGTAAGCGGTTCGGAGTTATTCCACCTAGCATCTTTAACCACTGATTGTGCCGACGAGGTTGTATGCACCTACCAACAGTTGATGACTTCGCGGACTGGTCGTACTTCTCGATTTGACAGCCGCTGGTTATACTATCCAACATCTTACATCGAAGTAGGGGGTTGTTGGACAGCTTAAGATAGGTTATAAATATCTTATTCGATGAAAGTTCACACTTTCATCAACTAATTCGTTATCTTGTTGGTTACCCAGTACGTAATTATAGCATCGTTCACTCGCTTCCTCAGCTCTTCTAGTTACTGCCATGCTAAATCTGCACACCGACTTGAACACAAGAGAAATTGCGCCAAATTTGGGAAGAACGCTTTACTCCAAGTTTTCGTTAATGTACGCCAAGTCTAGTGTATTTATAGCATTTCAAATCTATTTGGGTTGGAAAGTTCTGGAATACTTGCAAACATAGTAGCAGTATAGGTAATCATCCAATCAGAAAAGTGAAATGTACCTTTTTCACTTTGATCTTTCTGTCAAAACGTCTAGTGAATGCAGATTGGATATGATGCTTCCTAACGTCTCAAGCTCCCGTTTTGGCGTTTTGTCGATTAATTTTATCGGTCTCCTTAATATCATTACCACTAAACCTCTTAGTCAATGGAGTCGGATTCTATACCCAAGTTAAGTAACACTATTCTTGGGTGTTGGAATTAATCCCTATATTCTAGAACCAGATAAAGGATGATTATTTGTTCTGAACATTCACACCCAAGTCACAAACCAACCTGGTTTCCCCGCGTGTTACTGAAGAGCCTTGTTAAGCTTTGAATGATTTTGGTTGTTTTCACTTTAAATACTATAAATTCTTGACATTACGTTAATGTGTTTGTGTTAATTGATAATTGTTTTTAATGAAGTATTGGTAGACCCGGTTAGTTTACATGATGTTAAGATTTCATTTTATTTTCTGAACTTGATTGAAAGTCATTCAGAACGCGTAAATTAATGTAATTTTTGTCAATTTGAAAAAAATCGCACAAGTAATCGATAACTGGAGATTTGTGGAAGTTTTAGTATATATTTTATAATTATGAAACAAAGTCAGTAATAATAATAATATTTAGTCGTTCATTTATTATTGATGAAACATGGTAAACGCTATAGTTTTTTTAAAATTCATCATCTAGTTGTATGTTTCAAGTGCCTATTAATGTTCGATTCAGAGTTTAATGTTTGTAGATTTATTCGTGATATTCACAAGCATCATATATTAATATCAAATTTAGTTAAATGTTTAATTTTATGTCAAAGGTTATACATTATAAGCTGAATCATGAAATATATATGTGACTTACATGGAATTTATTGTCACTTATTATGTATATACTTATAATAAAAACTGTAGACAAATTTTCAATACTTGTTTTTAATAAAAATTTATTCAAAAGATAAATGTGTCGAACTATTAGCATGCTAGTATACAAGTTACTTCGGTTAAAGCATATACACAGACATAAATTTTATGTTATTAAAATATGTTTTTATTGTGTTTGACGACCCGTTTGTTATTTCTATGTCATTTAGTATATATATACTTGTTATTTTCAACAAACCGTTAATGACCTATGATACCTACCTAGTTATGTATGAAATGATCATTTGTATTGATGATAAAGAAATGTTAATTAGGAATTGGCAAGTAAATTCATGATTTGTGGTAACTTTATAAAATCCACAAGCAAAATTACATATGTGTACACCTGATGTGCTTAAATGTGTTCATAATGTATCCAGATGCATAATAAACAATAGACACCAAATTTTTTAAAGATAAACTTGATTGAGTGATAGTGACTTAAATTTAATGCAGTAGAAATCAAAGGAACACATTTTAGAGATCTTAGAATTGACTGGAGATAAATTTATATTTGTATAATGTAAGTTTATATAAACGTGAGGATAACAGGTTATTCTATTGATAATCGACCAGGATGCATGTATGGATTTTTTTCAACGCTACAACAGAAGAATAGAGTATTGAAAGTTATCTTAATTACTTACGCCTGTTAACCCTCATGGAGGAACATAGGACGCCCACCAACATTCTCCACCCAACTCTATCTTGAGCAATTCTTTCCAGATGCTATTCCTCCTTTTGATGTCTGCTTCCAATTCTCGATGTAGTATGTTCTTTGGCCTTCCCCTTTTCCATTTCCCTTCATGATTCCAGATAAGCACTTACCTCGTGATGCGGTTTGATGGTTTCCGAAATGTTTGTCCTATCCACCTCCAATGACCTTTCCTGATTTGTTTTTCATCTGGAAGCTGGTTTGTTCTCTTCTACAGAAGGCTGTTACTGATGGTATCTGGTCAACGGACATTTAGTACCTCACGTAGAAAATTGTTTATAAATACCTGCACTTTTTTTATGGTGGTTGTAGTAGTTCTCCAAGTTTCAGCTCTGTACAGTAGAACTGTGTTGACGTTCGTATTGAAGATTGTAACTTTGGTATTGGTTGACAGTTGTTTTGCGTTCCCTATGTTCTTCAATTGTAGGAATGCGACCCTTGCTTTACCAATCCTCTCCTTTAGGTCTGTATTGGATCCTCCTTGTTCATCGATGATGCTGACCAGGTACGTGAAAGTTTCCACATCTTCCAGAGCTTTTAAATCAAATGTGATTTGGTTGGTTTTCTCCGTGTTGTATTCGAGGATCTTGCTTTTCCCTTTGTGTATGTTAAGGCCTGTTAATACAGAGGCTACTGCTACACTAGTTGTCTTCATCTGCAGTTGTTCGTGTGTATGGGATAGAGGAGCCAGGTCATCTGCGAAGTCCGAATCGTCTAGTTGCATGCAAGCTGTCCATTGTATTCCATGCTTCCCTTGATATGTAGTGATCTTCATAATCCAGTCAACCACTAGAAGAAAGAAAAAATGGCAAGGGTAGACAGTCGTGTCTGTTACCAGTTTTCACTTCGAAAGCATCTGTCAGCTGGTGTGCATGAACGACTTTGCAGTGTAGTCCGTCGTATGAATTCCGGATGATATTGGATATGTTCTCAAGTCGACCATAGTGTCGAAGGAGATTGTATAAAGTCCTCCTGTCCACACTGTCGAACGCGTTCTCATTGTCAAGGAAGTTGATGTAAAGTGACGAGTTCCGTTCAAATGATTGTTCAACGATGATTCGTAGTATTGTGATTTAGTCTGTGGACGACTGATTTTTGTGGAATTCGATGTTCTGATCTCAAAGCTGGGCGTCTACTGAGTATTTCATCCAGTTCGTCAACATTCTGTTGAAAACCTTTGCTGGTATTGATAGTAGTGTGATTTCTCTGTAGTTTTGACATTTGCTCAGTTTTCCTTTGTTTGGTAACTTGATTAGGTATTCTTCTTCCCAGTCTTTCGGCACTTGCTTTTCCTCTCAAATTTTCCTGAATAGAACATTGAGTGTCTGTGTTTGACTTCAGTGTTTCACATGGTATGTTGTCTGGTCCTGCAGCTTTCCCACTCTTGGTTTGTCTGGTAACTATGCTGAATTCCTCGATGGTTGGTGGAGTGATGTCTATAGGAAGGCCAGTGTGGGTTACTTCGATGTCTGGTCGTGCAGTGGGTTTAGTATGTATATGGATTAAATCGTGTTCAGTGCAGGATTATTTTGCTGCACGTTGATTGTTTATTGTTAATCAATCAGCGTTAGCTGGTACTTGGAGCATATTCTAGAATCTTCTCTTGTAAAAATTATAAATATACTTGCGAAGTGTGATCGATAAACGAACTCACCAATGATAAGGTAAAACGCTCACCATCACATCATCTTTTTTGACCTTGTATGGCTATATCTTGTTTATTCATCAATGTTCATTGTAAAACAATATTTGCCTTGTTGACTCATTTTTCCTATCTTCTAGTTACTGTTCGGTATGTTATTCATGTCTCTATTATTCTCTGTGTTAATAGTTAACAGTTTGTTTTGTATACTAACGGTGTTAATTTAGGTTATCGAAACAGATAAAGTTTATCAAGCCAAATAGCTTACTTGTTCTGACTTTGGCTAAACCAAGACTCTGTGCTCGACAATCTAGAGAATAGCTTAGAGTTACACCTGTAGGAAATTGCTTCTTACAATACTAACGTTTTCCTTACTGTGATTCCTACTAACATCCAATCTTCTTATGTGGTATATCATTAAGTTCCTATTCAACCGTGTTCTGGTTTGGAGATTTGTCGAATGAACTAGTGTTCAAAATTACTCAGCAATAAGAGTCGCTGGGTCGTATATAAGAAAAATCATAACATATACCGTATTATTTCTATCATGTGAATATGTTAAACATTGAACGAATCAACAGAATTTGTAGGTCAATGATAATAGTGAAATACAGTTTCTTGACTAATCAACCTATTATTATTATTATTATTATTATTATTATTATTATTATTATTATTATTATTATTATTATTATTATTATTATTATTATTATTATTCAATACTTACTGCTCCTTCCAATCACTATAATAACTGCGTCAATTTACTCGATATTTTGTAGTTTACACTGACATTCAGCAGTAAATATATAATTCTAGCCTACAATGTTTTTTAATTAATTAATATTTGCAAATCATTCAATTAATTTTAATTTACATATTTAAAAGAGTGTAATTTTGCTACATCTTGTCTCTATCCAAGTATTTGTATCTTTTTGTGTTTGTTTGTTCATAAATGGATTAGTGTTTGTATTGTTTTGTAAAGTTTTATATTTTTTCTAAAGAAAACAAACACTACACTGTATTACATATTTTAACTGTTAGTAATATTGAAAACATGAGAAAACAAATTAATTTATCGGTTGATAATCACGTTTTTTGCTCATTGTTTTGGATGATCCATTTCAATGCATATATATATATATATAACATTCCTTTTTATCTTGTTTTGTCGCATACATTTGCCGCTTTTCAAAAAGATCACTAATTACTGTAACCATACGAATATAAAATTCTTACATTCATATTGTGAATTATTATTTATTGATTGTCAAATTATGTTATAAGTTGATCGTGTATTTGTTCACATCTTGTTTGATTGGTAAATTTCAACTGTGATCTAGTTGGTTGTTATGTTTAAAAAATTTATATTGAATTAATTTGCATACAATTAAATGATCATCAAGTGGTTTGATCTATTTTATGTTTTTCTAGTCTTTTAAAGCTGACCGAATTCTATCAAACGTACAATGTGGCGGGTAGTTTAAGTAACTAGACATTATATGAGTCACATTAGCATATTAGCTGACTGAAGGTAGCCGACTATATTTAGCTTTTGTTTTAAGATTAATTTGTATGTTGAATGACTTATGTTGATTTGATGGAAGTTTGATTTCTTTTGATTTAGCCAATAAGTCATAGTCTTCAAAATGAAATTACATATGGATTACAATTAAGAGCGAAACAACTTTGTAAGTTGTTTAGTTTTATCAACTATTGCATAATTGTGAATCATAATCCAATTGATTGGAAACAGATATTGACAACATAATAGAATATAATGTTCACTGTTTCGAAACACGTTCATCATTTAATTATTGATTATTATATTTGGTGATCATTTGTGTATAGATAAAGAAGTAAGCATTAACATGTTGAATTCTACGGTATATACGACACGATGAGTAGAAATACATCCTTGTAGTGTGCCTAATCAACGTGCTATCATTCTATAGTATCTTTATTGAACATTGTATACAGGTGACAATTTAGTTTTTCTCTAGTTAGTATCCGATTACTTGATTACTAAAGTTTTTCTCATGATAGATTTTGTAGGCAATTAACCTCTCAGTCATTCTTGTTGTGCAATCAATAACTCAGTAATTCTAGTATTTGAACTGTTAAAAAAAGAAATAACAATTGATCTTTTTCATATGTTTTGGGCAAACTATTGTTAGAGTTCTCTAAGATGTCGTGATTTTTTCGAGGATTGTTTGTTGTATTAACTCTTTTAAAGCAGTTAAATAATTATCATTATTCAAGTTTCTTTTAAATTATAAAAGAACAGCAATTTTTATCAGATTTTATATTTTTTTGTTATGTCATAAGCCCCATCAAATATCATGTGGCTAAATCGCTGATCAGAACACCGACTTATATGACCTTGTCCCTTTGCTAAACTAATGACCCATTAACCAGCACTAGCAACCTTGAATCAACTCTGAGTTCTTATTGGTCCTCTATATAGTAGCTTCAAGTCTAACTCAGCCGGTTCAATCCAAAGTACAGTTATCAGCTTCTACTGTAAGAATCATGTATTTCAGACATATGCAGTTTGTGTACAAGCAAACCAGACCGCATCATACCATAAAATAGAAAATAACAATTATACATGATCAAGCCAAGGGTGGCTTTGAATGTTAGAGACTGTAACGAATTAATGGAGAATAACTTAAGAATGGTAAATCGTATAATAGTCAATAGGTCAGATGAAAGGTTACCATTTATTTATTCTTCGCTTGCATGCAGCAGTTTTTATTTGATAATTTAGTATGAATCGTTAAATTCTATATGTTGGTTTAATAAATCAAAAGGGGTGTATCTAAGCTGATATTACCATTGATTTTTAAGATATGTTTTCGTCAACTAGCAAAGTGTTTGGTGCCATCTTTATGCTTAAATTTTTAGATCTAAGTCATACAATCCATTTACGAATTGTTATTTTATGTAATAAGTTTTGCTATATACTACATGTACAAGAGCTAGTGAAAAGACAACAGTGTTCATAAAAAAATTTGTATAACATAGGTTCAGACCTGCAACTTATTGAATGAAAACCAATTGCTTCTACTACTATGTTAATACATAAAACTAACTAGTTAGTGTTTTTACTTTATCGTAATTAAAAAGTAATATTTCCTAACTTTTTATTCTTGCCTACACTTTAGTATTATGTTGATCCTATTGAGTAGAATCTAGCCTTTACGCGTAAATTTCATAAACCAGTTTTTTTCAATCGCTGATAATAATAATAATCGTTTCATCATCGTAATCAAAGCATAGTAGCATATTGATTTGTTCATTATATTCAATAAAATAACCCTATATTTTATATTTGATAGATTTCCGAACACCTCTTGTCCATAATAATGTCAAGGTATTTAAAAATCAATATTTATTCTAGCTATTGCACTTTAAACATTTAATATGTATGCAAAGAAAATTTAGATGACACTTGTATTATTATTGTATAAATTTGGTATTCACAATACCTTCCGGATATAAATAAATCAGTATGATTTAAACATGACCCAACCAGCTCCTTGTATTACCGAGTTTGTATCAGTTTACAATAAAATTCTACCATTCATTTTAATAATTAGAAGTTTATCAGTTAAATTAACTAAATTATTTAAGTCAATCTTATTTAACATTATGTCATTTATATTATCATCACTACTGAATATAGTCTGTAGTTAATTGGGTCAATCAACTTAATCAACCGGTTAATATTTTTATCACTTATCAAACGGAAAGATTTTTTCATACACTTAGTTTCTTTACATATCTTAAAGAGAATAAAAATTAAGAATTGAACAGAATATTATGTAACTATTTCATTCTGTCAAATTTTTTGTTCTTGCTCTCGTTGGTACAGATTATTATTATCAGAATGGGTTTTGTGGAGAGTTTAAGAAATTTCACAAGTGGAGTTTAATCGGTCTGTTGTGAGATAACAACTCACTGAAGACAATGGTATATAGTGGCGCAACTTCGTGGATTGGTTGAAGTTAGACATTAACACCGTTGGATGCCGGCTCAGTGGTCTAATGGTTAAGTACTCGCGCGCGAAGCCAATAGGTCCTGGGTTCGAGCCCCGCGTGGCGCGGGATCGTGGATGCGCACCACTGAGGAGTCCCGTACTAGGACGAAACGGCCGTCCAGTGCTTCCAGGTTTTCAATGGTGGTCTAGCTCCAACTGACTCATGATTTCAACTTGTGAAATTATTATTATTATTATTATTATTATTATTATTATTATGGTTTGTGATTTGATTTTCATTCATCTGTTATATCATTTGTTTGTTTTAATCATGAAACAAACAACTTTATCACAATAAATATTTTTATACTTAGCTTCTCTGAGCATATCAGATTGGATGTTTTCCAAAAAATATTATTAAACATATATCAATATTTTATCGAAATTTCCCCCAATTTATGCCGTCTTTTAATTGAACATCTAGATAAAGCTGTATATCAGTTGTGTTTGTTATGCAACTTCAGTTATGGTTTTCTTCTATTCTTCAGTTCCTAGAGATTTCCATTCTACTTTGTTGGAATACACACGTGAAGGTTATCGAGTTTTAGCATTGGCTTGGAAACCATTGAAAGCAACCTATACAAAAGTTTTACGTGTATCTAGGGAACGTGTTGAGCAAGATCTACAATTTCTTGGTCTATTGATTATGGAGAACCGTTTGAAACCGGAAACAACTCAAGTGATTGAAACTTTAAGATATGCCAATATTCGACCTGTTATGGTAACTGGTATGTTTCTTTTTCATTGATGTGTTCATTTTCAATGTGACTTTTTTGGAAGTGGTCTTTTCTAGATCATTTTCTCGAACGGTTAGTGACTACAGCTTATATAGGTAAACATTAAATGTTCGCAGAAAATTATTATTATGAAGACGAATTTTAACTCTCCCATGATGGTTTAGAAAGAAAGTGGCAATCTACTAAACTGTTTATAACAGATTGTAATTGTTATTTTTTTTAAAAGGAGATATATTTCGAAATTTAATTTCTTTTTGAGATTGTTCATCTTTTAAACAGTAAGAATTCCACTTCAATCCTTACAACGGATAGCGTTCTCTCTACGTTCATTTTCAACTGTTTGGCGTTAACTCATAGTTAGCCGAAAATCTTATAACTGGTTTCATTTGAATAATGTTCAGAAACATTTTTTGATATAAATCCATCGACTTTATATCATTAGATATATGTCTTATCTGTAGCTGGCGTAAATTTTATTTTTTATTTGTGCAACATCATTAACTAAATTTTGGCGTTTGATCATTTTTCCTAATATCAATAAAGTACTTTTTTGTTTCTCCAGTTTACAGTGTATGCTTTATCTTCAAATTATGAACCCTTTTATTTGAGAAATTATGAGGTTTTTTGTTTTGATGTACTAAGTTTGTCCAACGTTATGTAAATAGTGTATTCTATGTGTGTAGCGCTAAGCCGTACTTTTAAAACATCAACATTGGATAATTGAACAAGAAATCTATTTGAATTAATATTTAATATGATTTTGTCATTCCAATGTGGAAGAAAACTCCAAACTAATGCTACCAATCTGATTAGTATGTGAAATATCACTGGATTCATTCGATGGCAGATTAAACAGACAATTTGTTCGAATTTCTAGTAGTTCTATATGTTACTGGCAAAAAATTCTTTAATTTTCACTGTCAGTCACTACTATTTTGTTAGATAATAATCTCAAATATGCTTACTGAATTACTGTGAACTAATGCATCTAGGACGACTGAACAGACAACCATTGACAAATCAGGTTAAAAATATCGCTAATTATTCCTTATCCCAATAACTAACAATTGAAAGAGTTGCAAAAATATTCTAGATTTTCTTCATCTCCTACTAATCATGATTCAATAGAATAGACGCTTACATAATTAGTTAGTAATTACTTTGATGACTGACCTTTAAGAATACAATTTTAGTTTCGTATTAGGTCTAGTACTTAAAGAATAGTTTTTTGGAATCTTATGATCATTAATTTTAGCTTCATTAATATTTCGATTTCTCTTTCATCCTTAATTTATATTTTCTTAAATTTGACAATTCAAGTTCTTTTTTATCGGAGTTTTTACGGCTTACCATGAACACATTGTATGACAGATAACATAGTTGACTAATGCGATTTGAATAATTTCTACTTTTTATTCTTATAAAAATTTTATGAAATCCCAAAAGAGTTATTTTTAAAATCTTGTACCTTTGTATCTCAGAGATTTTTCTTATTCTAAAATCTGTATCCATATTTTCATCCACTAATCTCTAACACTTTGGAAGAACATAAAAATTGTTATTTGTTATATGAATGTATCTCTCGTTAAATTGCCTTATGATTTTAACAGTGTGAATATAATCATAAAGTGTCACGATTCATTTGAGGTTAATGCAAAATGTAATCGTTACTACGTCATTTAATTTAGAAATCACGTTCTCTTTAATCTCATAAACTGAAAAAATAGCGCTTTATTGATCTAGGCTCAACTCAATAAGTCAAGTGTATTGCATAACAGTTTCATAATTTTCGTTGAATCATCTTATTAGAGTTTTGTTTCTTTTTCTCGATAAATATCTCTCTGAAATTAGTTTTTCACGTAATAAAAATTAAACTGAAATAGTTTACATGATTTTCTTTCATTTTTTGTGACTCAATGGAACTACATAAATTAATAATTCTAGTCAATTACAATTTACGTTTGTTAGTAATATCAATTGACAAAGTGTATTATTACTCATCACTCAATCTTCTTATTTAGGTGATAATATGTTAACTGCATTGTCAGTAGCTCGAGATTGCGAGATGATCGATGAACTGGATCGTATTATTCTTGTGTCTGCAAAACCACCACCATTTCCGCGTCATGTTCAGTCATCCAGTCCGAATGATTCTGTAACTTGTTCTACCAAAGTTGATCTACCAAGTGGTCAACAACACAACCATACTTCTTTAAATCATGTTAATTTACCATTTGTTTCGTTGACACAATCACAAGGAACAAGAAGCAACAATAGACCGCGTACACACTCAAGTTTTAATGCAGCGAATTCTTTATTTGAGGAAAACGTCTTCAATCAACAATACGATTCATTAGTTGAATTTCATTATGCTGAAGATTTACACAAACCAGTCACTGAAGTGACAGCTACAACCGAAACAAGAACAACGAGAAAGTCTCATAGATCTCAGCCTGTTAATAATACTTCGACTGAAACTGATGCTGACTCGCACACATTCTCTGTAAGGAGTGGTAGGAAATCTCGAAAATTGATGCATCGCTTATGTGAAGATGTTCCATGTGTGTAAGTTCATATGAATTCATTTGTGAAAATCTCCTACTAAACCAATATTTATTTTTCCATTATGCAAATGTAATCGCTTTCATCTAGACTGTTTAAAAAACCCTCTAGGAAGCACGTCATCAGTGATCATTCTACTATATATACCTTACCTATGTATCTGCTTTATATTTGCCTCTTCATTAACGCAGCCCTTGAACCATTTACGTGGTATTTTTCTATCTTTCTATAGACCTACATATATTTACCAAACAACTACAAATTCGAATGTACAGCCTAAGTAAATGTTATTACTTTTGTTGACCAACATTGACTGCCAGATCTTATCTCTACCTTACTTGTACCTTGAAATCTCTGTACGTCAAGTTGCATGCTAACAACTCAGCACCTGGATTATTCATGAATAACATCTTGAATCAGTTGGGATGTTCTACATTTTGATCTCTATTTAGTTTTTGACTATTTGTATGGAGTACTTAGTCAACCATACGATTACTCACTTTCCTGTTTCAAGCCATATTTCGATATTAAAATTATCTGCATTGTACAATTGTGCGTTCACAGATACTGTTAAAAGTTAGTTGACAAACTGGGCAGTTCGCAAGTAACGATCATAATCCAATCACTAATTTCAGAAGTGTTCACTCAACCTTAAACTAAGCTGGATCGTGTGACATTTGAAAACCCTTCATATGTTTCTACAACATAGTAGATAAGGATTTATGGTTTAGATGTTGTTGAAATTACTAGAAGTTGGGTGATCAAAAGTCATTGGAGTCATGGCTCAGATTTCCGTTCACCATTGTATTACAGTTCGAAATTATGTAACTAGATGCGAGACCTCATGATATAAACATCCTGACTGTTGAGTACTATAGATCTGCATGAACGATGGATTCATGATTAAGAGATTCCAGTGTGACCTATTTGGTTGACAGTTCTAATTCCGTTGCACATAACTTCGTTAACGTTTGCCACAAACTGAATGGATTGAAGCTGAGTATGTTAATCATTATTCAACTAACCAACTACTTGGATTACGTTTACTGAAGATATGCAAACCGAACTAATAATTCGTCAAATAACGTTTCCCTGGTGTTCTGGTGTGACCGCAGTGATCTGAAGCTATTCACAACTCAAATGTCCCACTATCCATTAATTGTTTTTTTAGGAATAATTTTAAATCTACTAAATTCCACGATTATTGTCTGTGTTTATTTGTTTGTTTTAATTTGATTTTCGCTCAGTTCACGAGGATGTGAACAGCATTCTTCACCATCTTCAAGTCCACTTACAGATATAACTGCGGTGCCTAATGTTTCAGTGAATGGTCACCCTCGTGCTTCTTCATCCGATCATCAACAACATCACCACTATGAAGGAAGAAAGAGTGGATGTTATTCAAAAGATGATTTACATTCAGTATCAAATCGTCGTTTGAATCCCACTCATTCTGTATCTATACGGATGCTCGATCGACCTGATTTCCACCTAGCTATGTCTGGCAAAACGTGGGCTATCATACGGGAATATTATCCCTGGCTTATACCAAAGGTGAGCAATAATGGGATTATCAATGTATATTGAAGGTAATTTTAAAGTGGACATGATTGTTCGACTAATTCACTGAGGTGAACTCGTCGTGCTTAATGATCGTTAGTTAGGTGTTAAGTTCAAACCTCCTATCATTTGTTTAGAGAAATGTATTATTCACACAGCAGACGTGTTTTATGTAACTAAAGTATTATGTGGATTGATATGCAGAGATATCAAAATAATGTGTGACGTATATACATGTTCAGCCTTGTGTACTTGTCGCTAGACAATGTTTATACTTTTATTGTTTGAAACACTTAATCATTGTAACAAACTTGGGTGCTTAGTCTTTAATTATGTGTACTTTCTTATGCAAAACAGTGTGATAACATAGTGCTGTGCACAAACAAGTTTTGTACTGTTTTACTGAAATGGAAAACACATTCAATTTGATGTCCACACATCTTACAGTGTGTACATAATTGGATTTGCGTCAATGTTATACACGGTATTTTTTTAACAGTACTAACTCAGTGATTAGCATACGTTTATGACGTGTTGGCGTTTTGTTAACGCATCTAAAAATAATTGTCCACTTGATGTTTGGTGGTTGGAGGTAGTCAATAAGAAGGTTTTGACCTGAATTTCTTGCTAACTAACACTTGTCTGCGAGGTGCACCTGAGAGTACTGGTTCCCTATGTAGGGTTCGGATCGTCATGGATGGAATTCGGTCAACACTCAAAGGACTAGACAGATACGAAATCGGTGATCAATCAATTATCAGCCAATTGTAATCTGTCCACTTGTAGTAATGAAAATACGTTATTTTTCACCAAAGTTCGGGTCGGCGAAACGTCGTTATATTTGATTAGTCTTACGATTTTCAGATCTATTTCATTTGTTCTAAACTGATCAGATCTCACCATGTCTCTCTGAATGATGATCCGGACTACCGAATGCTTGGTAAGGACAGCACAAGAAGTGAAATAATAGTCTTCTACTACACTTTTCTGCATAACTTTTCCTGTTTCTTTCGTGATTTATCCACCTTGCAATATATTTTCAGTTTCGAAGCATGAGCATTGCAATGTTAATAGCACTGTTGTGTTTAGATTTGCTCCTAATTGTTTTCTCTCTCTTTTTTCTTTCTGTATGTGCGTTTCTCAGCTTGTAGTCAAGGGTACTGTGTTTGCTCGTTTTCGTCCGGAACAAAAAGCTCAACTGATCGAATCACTTCAATCAGTTGGTTATTTTGTTTCAATGTGTGGTGATGGCGCTAACGATTGTGGTGCATTGAAAGTAGCACATGCTGGGATTGCGTTAAGCGAAGCTGAAGCCAGTGTTGCTAGTCCTTTCACATCGAAGCAACAAAATATTAGTTGTGTGCCTACACTTATTCGTGAAGGTCGTTGCGCATTGACTACTAGTTTTGGTGCATTTAAATTTATGGTCGGTTATTCAATGATTCAATTTTTCTCTGTTATACTTTTATATTATGTAAGTTTGGTTTTAGTGTTTCTTTGAATTCAAGGTTTTTCTCGCTGCCAACAAGTGAAATTAGCAAAGCGTTTTGTAATTTTAGTGATCGGTTACTACATTATTGCTAATTGTTTATGCCTATACTTATCTGCATCATGAAGTAGTTAAATTTAGACCAAACAATTTTTGTGTTATTTAGATAATTAAGACTGGTTTTTTCAATGAAATGCTGTTTGTCATTAGTTGTCTTTTTTCAAAATAATTTGTCAGTGTTCTGTTTATTCATGACTGAAAAGTTTTAACGTCAGTAATACTTTTATGCCTTTATTTTCCTGTTTTGTTAATTTCCAGTTTTAATGTTCATTTCACAGTTAATTAGACTGAGCAATTATTGATGTGTGTAGGATAGAGAGAATTTGCTGTCTCTCGAGGATATGAAATTTTGTCATTACAATTATTCACCACTGCTCATATTTTGCACTAAACCTGCCAATTCACTAATGAGTAAGAAAACCCTTCACACAGCTTTGATTATCTGTATAACTACCTTGTCAGTCGTTCAGAACATAACGAAATCTGACCATAGAATTAAACAGACTTTTACTTTCTGTGTCAAGTTAAGTGTTAGTTTTGTGTTTCGCAAGTTCACTACATTTACACTATACACGCTCATCCCAAATGCCTGGCGGATTCTATTTGCAAGTTTAAATTCTAAGAATGATTAGGAAGTTTTGATTACCAGATCAAAGAATCTGTACACAGCTTATATATATATATATATACATAAATGATTTATGGGCTGTGTGACGTTGGTCATGTGACTAAATCATTCCAAAGATGTGACTTATATATACTTCTCACCTACCAGTTACCTTGACATGTGTAACCTGTCTTGTCTAGCTTGTCATTAGATCTCATTGCCTAACTTTCGTTCTTTGTATTCATTATCATTACTCATTGGCTGTTTATAAAAAAGGTATTTTCAGTTATAACGATCCAGTCAGTCAGTCAGCTACAACGTAGGACCAGGCACATATGTGCATCAGTCCAGGTTGCCATACCTCATTAGCACAGCAAGATGAACACCGGATTCATAGGAGTGGTTAATTCAAAGGTGGTAATATATAGGAGAAAGATTGCAATAAGAATATAGTATAGGAAGAAAGAATTAGTTCGTAGAAAGATAGATATGAAGGGATTTTAATCTCTTAGTTTAAGGGAAGACAGAGAGTGTATACAACGAGGCTATTGTGATCGATTCTAAGCCATGTCACCAAGAGTCTCCAACCATTGGTTACGATAGTCATGCGGACCCCAACCAAGTAGTCTGTATTTACCAACATGGCTCAGACTAGAGGTTAGTGACTTCAAGCACTGATGCCAGGTTTTGGTTTGGCCGCCCCTAACTTTCTTCCAACCACCCCGAACACCGATTAGCATTGCTCGTCGTGGTCATCGATGGTTTGAAACGCGTAATACGTTGCCTAACCATCTCAGTCTATGAAGATTTACAACCCCATCATCTGATTTACCATCATTCCCCAATACCCTGTGTCTAACCTCACTATTACTTACCCGGTGATCCCAGCGGATGCGAGCAATATTTGTAAGGCATCCGTGGTCAAGTACTAGTAGTTTACGAGTGTCTTCTACTCTTAATGGCCACGTTTCGCTGCCGTAAAGTAAAATAGAACGGACTGTCGAGCAGAATACTTGTCCGTTTATTGATAGACGGATATCTCGCCTTCGTCATGGGTGATGTAAGTTGGCGAAAGCCAAACGAGCTGTTCGAATCCGTGCTGAGATTTCGTCAGACACCAACCCATTAGGGCTGATCAAACTTCCAAGATAAGTGAAGTTGTCAACGCGTTCGACTACTTCACTCCCTATCCTTAGTTCAGGTGTTGACGCAGACCAGTCATGAAGCAACAACTTGCATTTAGAGGGAGAGAATCGAATTTCAAACATTCTGGCATTGTTGCTCAGTGCTACCAAAGGACTCTGCATTTTATCAGCGTCTTAACCAAACAGGACTATATAATCTGCGTATTCTAAGTCGATAAGTGGACCTCCTGGAAGGAGATCATTACCCGAGAATTCAGTAGACGAGAATGTTATTTCCATCAATAGGTCTATGATGAAGTTAAACGAAAATGGAGAAAGTGGACAGCCTTGAAGGACACCACTTGAGGTTGCAAAAGTAGATGACAATCCATCACTTCACAATCTAATGAATATTGAATTAATCGGCTCATAATTTAACAATTATTTCATTTTGAAATGGCTTCATTTTCTTAAACCCTGATACATTTAAAATCACACATTTTTTTATTTTCCAATACATTTCTCTTGTTGAGTTTTTTTTAATTTCTAATTTTTGCCTTGTAAACAGTAAAATTGTGAATTCTATTTGTCTTTTTGTTTACACACCACATCAACTTCATTTTATAGAACACATCCATGTGACTAGTGAATAATTTTTGTTTTTTTTATTAAGAAAAACTGTTCCTCTCAATAATATTTAGTGAATTCTTTTTATTACCAACTTAATAGTCCAGTGATTTGTTAGGTATTTTGCCAAAAGTTACCTAGTTTTACAAAATGCAATATATTTTTCTGTTTAGTTCAAACTCTTTTCAATTATTACAAAAAATCTTTTAAGTTCTTAATTATTATTCTAGCACTCTAGATTCATCTGTTATTCTATAAATTAATTATTGGTTGTACGTTGAAATCATTTCTGTGTGTATGTAACTATGGACTCAAATGTGTCTGAGCATTTTGAGGAAATTGAATGTGTGGTGAACTGTACTAAGATTTCCGGTTGGAACACGCTTTATTTTTCAGTGGAATACAATTAGGTATTTCATATACGGTAATCTTGTCAGTTTTAATTTGGTCTTCATTTGATGGTCTTTTTATGTTTGCAGTCGATGTACTTGTTAACTTTTAGTCATTTGTAACTAAATTACGAAATACCATAGAACACGGGTTAAATTGTTAATGGTCGAATTTTGTATTATAAATATGACATTTATTTTAAACGAGACGATGGATAATCTTTATCGATGTTCAATTCACCTATATTTTATAATAAATAATTTCTAGAGTTGTCTATCATCAACGGTACTTTGAAACCATATTAAAGCAGTTCACTGATCTCTCGATTTCCCCAAAAAAGAAGTTTCATTTAATTGTTGTTACCATTTTTAAATATGAGTTTTTGTAAAGATCATATTGTAACGTGCTATAACAATCTATCTAAACACTTCAAATGCATTTTAAAAATGAGACTTTTCAATGAAAAACTGTTGTGTAGAATGTATATATATATATATATATATATATATATATATATATATATATATATATACTGAAGCTAGACCACCATGAAAAACCTTGTCTAGCTTCAAATGACGCATGATTTCAACTATTGCAATTACTAAGATCTGTAAAAACCCCTTCTGGCACATATATTGTATTGATTCGTTATTTTCCCATAGAAATGATCGAAACAGGTTTGATTGTTTTGATGATTAGTACCATTGTACCTAATACTTTTTTAGCTACTTTTATAATTTCACGTCAAATACTTTTGTGTAGTAATTGAAATTACTTTTTAGTCAAGCGTGTTTCTTCGTGGTAGAAATAGTAGAATTTCTATGGCATTAGTAAGAGTGAATTGGACAATGAAACAATGGAAGGAGTGAATACATAAAAGTTGCAAAACAAAATGTGTTTCTTCCTGGTAAAATCACATTATTAAGAGAAGCAAATAATAGGAAGAGCTCTATTATGTATTCCAGTTTCCTGCATTGATTATAATATGGAAGTATTTAAAGTGAAACTCTACACACTTGATCTATGTTTAAAATCTCTATTTATTTATTTCCATAACCACATTTGAGTATTATTTTCGTAGTTATAAATGAACCAACAGATGATTGTTCATTTTCATTGATTATCTGCTTTGCTTCGATCATTACATTAATATCACCGTACTGTATTGTCTGGAATGAAGTTTAGCTAGTAAATATGTGACTATACTGGCTAAATCGCTGATTGTTTACTAGGTGAATTTGGGTTGCCAGTTGTATATTGATTTGTTTTACACATATTACATTGATTTGTATGCGAGTGACCTGCTGAAGTTATTCTTTCCAGTCGTATACGACTTGTAATTATGTTTTAAGTAGGAGCGATTTCATGGCTTAGTAACTTAGTTCTATTTATTAGTTACTGGTATTTGGTTTTCAGACATCATGTTATTAAATTAATTAGTGCCAAGTAGAACTTTGATAGTTCTTATATCATAAATCCTTATCTATTGTCCTCGTGTGTTTACTTGTGTTGTGCGATTCACGGTTTCCTTGTAGTCAGTATCGGTTTATCTCCAAAGATCATTTGCATGCAAAAGACTCAATCTATTTTGTGTATATTTATAGTGGTAATCGCACTAAACAGTTAGCCATGAGGGGGGGTTCGTGTGCATTTTGAATTCTTAATTAAATTGTATGTCAAGATTTTTGATCTGAGAGTTAACATTATTTTTTGGTTGAAAATCATGTGCGTCTACGGAAATTATTTTAAGTTCATTATACACTTCATATCACATATATTGCAACAGAAAAATCAGTGATGTATCTGAAACGTTTATCTTGCTATGTTAATCAATCGCTCTAAAAGCCAGTTTCTGTAAGCAGCCATAACAAGTGTTTGATTAGAAATGACCTACAGATGATTGGGTAGAGGTGTCAAACTCTCTTATCATTTATATCAAATGAATTGTCCTAGGACCATGAACCAGCATTCCGTATGCTTTTAATCCAGTCGTTGTGACCCACTTTCATAATTATAAACTTTATTAGATGCTTTCTGTACTGATATATTGAATTATAATGTCAAATGACATGATAGATGTATTATAAAGAACGAATTCGTTACGTTTTCAACTTTCAAACTCATTTTTCTTATGTATCTTCAATACATCATATCGTGTTCCATATTTCAAGCACAGATTTATGTAGTGTTTGTGTAAGAGACGGTGATGCTACCAGGGTTCTTAAGTTGACGTGATGGAGTAGGATTCGAGCGAGCTATTAATTGCTTGTAGGCCAAATGCTCTAAACGATAAAGTGCTGTCTACACATCACTGGGATTCGAAAAAGTGTGAGTGCTGGTGTAAGATCAATTGTTTTTATGTGGGAGTTGAATAAACGGTTGTCTTGAATACAATTGTAGTAGTAATAATAGTATTGATAGTGCTTGCTAGGGAGAGTTCTCAACCACCAGTCAGATTCATTCGTTTTGTTATCTGTTGATTCCTTCGTGAACACGTTTCGAATCCGTTTGACGAATTCAAATAGGTTGACACTGATGGCAAACAGCAAGAAGTTTCATTGCTTTATGATTATACACTTCCCTTCCAACTCAGTGTTTGACTGGTACATACCATGATTAATGTGTTGAATGAATTCACCAATCGTATGCCTGAATTATGCCTAAGTATGTCTTGTTTTTGCACATTTATACTCATTTTAGATTGTAAATCAAGACAAATTATTTAAGTAGGTATTAATATTGTTCAGTAGAATATTCACTCCTTTAGGCGAATTATAATTGTAGACGTATTGTTTCATAAATCGAAATATAATGTGATTTGTAAACGAAGCAAAATAATAAATTCCGATTACAAATTAAGCACTTGTTTTCTTTGATCATTTTGTTGTGTTTGGTAGTTGTAGTGGTACTTTTCTTACATCTTTTTGTTTTTTCCATCTTTCTTACTAGATTGGCAGTAATATTTCTGATCTGCAATTTTTATTCATCGACCTTTTCCTTATCACAACTCTGGGTCTCACGTGTAAGTTGAGAAAGTATTTCTTTATTTGGTGATTTTGTTTTGGAAATTCTATTATTGAAAAGAATAATGAGATGGTCAAGTGGTATGTGTTTCTATTTTGGCTCGTTTATTTTTATGCCACTTTGTTGTATGTATTGAGTTATTATTGTTTTGGTTTGGCAGTTTATATATTGGGATTGTCCTGTTCCCAGAAAAATAGTGTAATCATTTAAAAAGTCACCATATTATTATTGTGCTTCCATGTGTTTTCTACTCTCTCCTTATAAATAATATGGTTGAATTCAAAAATGTAATTTAATTATTTACCAAATATTTTCGTAGAATATATCGCGGATTGGTCTTAGTCAATGATTGGCAATTATCCACTGCAGGTAGTGTAAAATAGTCTCGAGATATCGCGAATTGATACAAGTCAGACACCATTCGATGCCGGCTCCGAGGTTTGTAGGTTAAGCGCTCTCAGCTTACACGAATGTCCTGGGTTCGGTCCTCCGTGGAGAGGAGTCATGGATGTTCACTGTTGATGGGTCTTATATTAGGACGAAAGAGCACATCAATACCTCCTGGCTTTTAATGGTTGTCGAACTTAGATCAGTAAGTGATGAAAATTCAACAGTCTTCAAAAAGAGTGATTACTAAATATGTTTTCATGTATTCTTTGTTAGATTGCATGAATATGCGCACATATATGCGTTGAAATAGAGTTAAAAAACAATCAAACTACAACGTGATATCAGTTTCTGAGGCCATTGTTGAGCTGAGTTTTGTATTTAGATGTGGATTGCCTCGTTGAGTTCCTCGTGATCACCGTAATCGTTTGTTTGGAGACGCTTGATGTGCATGATAATATTACACTTACATTCACTATTTATATTGCCTCAGATCTTAGGCTTTTAAATTATTTTCTTTTATTCTACAAATTTACTGTTCTTGAACCATATTTTTTAATAATTCGATTGATACTGTTACTAATTTTTTTCTTCTATGGGATTTCGGACTGTTATAGTTTGGCAGCTTGATTCAGTGTGCATATATCTCGGGTTCTATGTTTCATATGACTGATGAACAGTCAATTTAAGCTCTCCTAAGTAAGATGACCTTTTCTACTTACATATGATATGTTGTAAATAACTCAATCGTTTGAAACGAAGAGGTCACTTTGATAGTATAATGTCCGACGTGCATATTTCACATAATGTTTCACCCATTCTAAACGTTACTGTCACATAACATGAAAACGTGTATTCACTTTATGATCATAAATTTGTTGTAACCTTCTAATTTCGGTCTCATTGTAGACCGGCAAATTGTTTTTAAGTATTCATTTGGACGTTTGGGCTACAAAAATGGTGGCCGGTACATATAAGCAATGGGCATACGTTGTTTTAAAAAACTTTTTCTACAGTGTTATTTTCCTATTTCGTTTTCACTAGCTGATTAAGTAGCACAAAGTCTGATTATATCGTCTAAAAAGTTTTGTTTTATGTATTTTTCTAAACTGAGTGAGTTAGATGGTCGAAGTTAGTCTACAGGAATCCGCCGACCCGGGTTTTGTCGTATTTGGTACTCTTTAGAAAAATGTATATGTGGTTTTGAGGGAACTAGTGCTATGTGGTAAATGTGACCTTGTCTCGGCCTACTTCACAGTCTAAGTCGTTACCACTAAGGTAATTATGCCTCTAATGAAAACCTGTAAGACCGAGATATTAACAATTAAGTCATCACTGGGTGACAGTTCTCTCATATTTGTACATACACCTTTGTGAATAGTATCAAGTGGCACTGAACGTAGGTTCTGGGTTTTCTGTTGACTACCTTCAACCACCTAAAATCTCAACATTGCCCATGCAATCCCAAGTCACTCAAATTATTTGGTACATTGCAACTTGATCGACAGAATTTGATCAGAACGAAGAAACCAGATAAATATTATATCGGTCCATTCCCAGTCATCTTTTATGAAGAGACCATTTTTCCAATGGTAAATATATTGTATGGTGTTGCTGAATAACTGCTTGGTGCTCACTTCCCTGTCGGATTTGGCTTTCATAAAGTTTACTTTCATTCTCCTGGATTACTTGACTTGGATTTAGTTTTTTCGACTAACCTCATTTATTTAGGGACGTTTTTGACATATTTCATATATGTGTGTCTCTGTTTTTGAAAGTACTTTTGATAATCTGTAATGCCGAAGCTAAACTTCTTAGTCATATGCATTTATGCATATTTCTCCCTCAACACATACACCTAGTATCATAATGACCTCGGTTAATTAATATTTACATTGTTACACTATTATTGATCAGTACTTCAGAACTCCGGTTTCCATTTTGTGAATGAGCAGTTCCAATTCACTTCACATTAATAACATACTAACAATTACCTACATTGTTTGGATAATGGTGTACAACCTGGTGCTACACACTGTAATTTCTTTCAAGTACTTCATCATGGAAGCTATTTCTATCTATTATGCATCTTTTGTTTTAATTAGTCGGAAATTCTTATCTTTAACCTAATGTACATGTGCAATTGTAAATTTCAGTCATGCTGCTTTTTTGCCGCCAATTTTAATCATATTATTATCTTTCTTTTGTAACTACTAATCCACTCAACATGTGGCATCTCATGATGTTTACGCGAAGAAGTTTTTCTAATTAGCATTCAAATTCTGATTTTCCATCTCTCAACATCTTTTTCAGGTTAATTTTTAGAATAAAGTGTTGTTTGGTGTCATTTATGTTTCATTTCTGCATTTAATATTTCATTACCACATTGTCTAAAAATGGTAGTGTTTAATCTTATTTCCTTCCTTATTTGGATTAGAAAATTTTCACCATTCAAAACTGGTAAGTTGACCTTCATCTACTTGTGGGTGGCCTTTGTCACTTACAGATATCAGTTTATATAGCTATGTGTACGAAGAGCAACCGAATATCTCCTCGTAATGTTGGACTCTTCATTAGTGCACACCCTCGATCCTGTCTAGAATCAAACCTCACGTCGTTCGGTTCTCTCAGCAAACATTTAACCCTTATACCATTTGGATGGAACGGCTCAAATGTCCTGTTTACAACTTTTGTTGTTGTTGTTAATGAGCGCTGCTAATTAGTTCTTTACTAAAATAGCAGCTGTTCAATAAATCTTGATTTTAGTGATGCCTCAACCTGTGTAAATTCATAATGTTCACCACTCGAAAACGAAAGTCATCTTCATAGAATCTCTTAATCAAAAATACAATATTTCTCTGTTATATATCATCATTTTTCGAAGCCAATGAGACAATTCTAAATTGAGAACAAGTCTGCACTTTAAAATTGTATGTTGACAATACTTTCTTTTGTTTTTCTATAATATCTATCTTTGTTACTTACTTACTTACTTACTTACTTACTTACTTACTTACTTACTTACTTACTTACTTACTTACTTACTTACTTACTTACTTACTTACTTACTTACTTACTTACTTATTGATGCCTGTTACTCCCAATGGAGCAAAGGCCGTCGAGCAGCATTCTCCAACCCACTCTGTCCTGGGCCTCCTTTTCTAGTTCCATCCGATTCTTGTTCATTTTTCTCATGTCTATTTCCATTCCCCGGCGTAATGTGTTCTTTGGTCTTCCTCTCCTCCTTTGGCTTTGAGGATTCCATATGAGGGCTTGCCTTGTGACACAGTTGGGTGCTTTCCTCAATGTGTGTCTTATTCACTTCCAGCGCTTCTTCCTGATTTCTTCCTCCACTGGGATCTGGTTTGTTCTCTCCCACAGTACGTTGTTGCTAATAGTGTCCGACCAACGGATCCGAAGTATTTTGTGTAGACAACTGTTAATAAACACCTGTGTTTTCTGGATGATGGCTTTCGTAGTTCTCCAGGTTTCCGCCCCTTACAGTAGAACTGTTTTAACATTTGTATTGAAAATCCTGACCTTGGTGTTGGTTGACAGTTGCTTTGAGTTCCAGACGTTTCTCAGTTGTAAATATGCTGCTCTTGCTTTTCCGGTCTACGTCTTCACTTCTGCATCAGATCCACCATGTTCATCAATGATGCTGCCCAAATATGTAAAGGTTTTTACATCTTCCAAATCTTATCCGTCAATTGTGATTGGATTGGTGCATGCTGTGTTGTATCGGAGAATCTTGCTTTTCCCTTTGTGTATATTCAAACCTACTGCTGCTGAGTCTGCTGCTACACTGGTCGTCTTTTCCTGCGTTTGGGATAGAAGGGCCAGATCATCTGCGAAGTCTAGGTCGTCCAACTGCATCCTAGATGTCCATTGTATCCCGTGTTTCCCTTCAGATGTTGACGTCTTCATGATCCAGTCGATCACCAGGAGAAAGAGAAAGAGTGAGAGTAAGCAACCTTGCCTGACACCGGTCTTCACTTCGAACGACTTTGTCAACTGTCCTCCATGCACGATTTTGCAGTTTAATCCATCATATGAATTCTGTATGATATTGACTATCTTTTGAGACACGCCGTAGTGTCGAAGAAGCTTCCATAGTGTTGTCCTGTCCACGCTGTCAAACGCTTTTTCGTAGTCAATGAAGTTGATGTAGAGTGATGAATTCCATTCGATTGATTGTTCCACAATGATCCGTAGAGTTGCGATTTGGTCTGTACACGATCTATCCTTACGGAATCCTGCCTGTTGGTCACGATGTTGGGCGTCTACGCAGTCCTTCATTCTGTTTAACAATACCTTGTTGAAGACGTTTCCTGGTATTGAGAGAAGAGTGATTCCCCTGTAGTTATCACAGTTGCTGAGATCGCCTTTCTTCGGTATTTTGATCAGAAGTCCTTCTTTCCAGTCTGTTGGTACTTGTTCCTCATCCCAAATCTTATTGAAGAGAATGTAGAGTATCCTTGCAGTTGCCGCTACGTCTGCTTTCAGTGCCTCTGCTGGAATGTTGTCTGTTCCTGCTGCTTTGCCACTCTTGATTTCTCTGATGGTCATGCTGATTTCTTCAATTGTTGGTGGGCCAACATTGATTGGGAGGTCCGTGGGTGCTGCTTCGATGTTGGGTGGGTTCAGTGGGGCTGGTCGATTCAAGAGTTCCTTGAAGTGTTCTACCCACCTGTTTCGTTGCTCTTCAATGTTAGTGATTACCTCGCCTTCCTTGCTTTTCACTGGTCGTTCTGGTTTGCGGCGATTTCCAAAGTTTCTTTGTTATGTCATACAGTTGTCTCATGTTTCCTTCTCTTGCAGCCTTTTGCGCCGTCTTTGCTAGATCTTCCACATATTTACGTTTGCCGGTTCTGATGCTCCTCTTCACTTGTTTGTTTACTTCTGTATATTTAGCTTGTGTCTTGGCTTTTTCTGCTCTTGTTCGACTGGTATTGATTGCTGCTTTCTTGTTCCTTCTTTCTTGAATCTTATCCAGTGTATCAACAGTGATCCATTCCTTGTGATGGCGCTTCTTGTGACCCAGGACCTCATGAAATGTTGAAGTGATTGCCTCTTTGATCTCTTTCCAGTTGCTCTCCATAGTAGTTCCTTCTCCATTGAGTAGATCATGAAAGGCCTGGAACTTATTGCTGACGGCTACCTTGAATTTGTTGAGTTTGTTAGTATCCTTAAGAAAGGCCGTATTGAACTTTTGTGATATTGTCCGCTCCATTGTCCAGTGTTTCTTGAGTTTCAATTTCATCTTGGCGACCAGCAAGTGGTGATCTAAGACTATATCAGCTCCTCTCTTGGTTCTCACGTCCTCTATAGTCCTCCTGAACGTTTTGTTGATGCAAATATGGTTGATTTGGTTTTGCGTCGTGCGATCCGTTGAAGTCCATGAGGTTTTGTGAATGCGTTTGTATGGGAATATGGTGCTGCCTATGACCAGTTTATTGAAGGCACATAGGTTTGCGAATCTCTCACCATTTTCGTTCCTTTCTCCCAGTCCTTGTCGTTCCATGATGTCTTCATATCCAGTGCTGTCCATTCCAACCTTGGCATCTATTTTTGTAGATATATTAAAAGATTATTATCTCTATATATCCGTATAATTGAATCGCAATAGAATTTTGTACCAATTTGTGTGACTTGTCATAATGTTTTACTCTGACTGATGAAAAAAGTGAAGACAACTACATCATAGCTTAACATGAATTTGGATCCGTTAATTTTCTATACCTTGGAATGGCACAGTAGATTGGGGCTAATTCAAATGTACGGATTTTCCAATAAACTAAATAGACTTAGTTAAAATGGTAATATATTGACTGGACGGGAAAGCTTTCAAGATTATCAATTAGAAATTGATATAGTTAATGTCACTAGACATCACTGTTTTTACTTTCGTTTTTGTGTAGTATCCATTACTTTCTAAATAATTGTCTGATTTCGATCATGGTTTCTTCTGTAACATTTTGTAGTGTGCTTTTGAAGTCAGATACTGTCACAACATCATTTTGTTGGAACATCTGCTGAGGTTAAATGGGTAAAAGATCGTGGTCATTGACGAATCCTGGTGTAAATCATAATTTTCACAGATATCAGTAATCCTGGAAGTTGTGTTGTCACACGATCGGACCTTTAAGATATCTAATTATGCTTTATTTGGTATTCTAGAAACACATCCTTTACCTCATAATACCGTCTAGTTTGATGGTCCATGTATATACTATTACTGAAATATTAGGACTGTTTTAGTTTATCAGTGCTATCCAGAGAAGAATCAGTGTAGCTAATAAAGAAGTAACATGTTACTTATCGTCATTTATCAGGCACAAACAATCGTACAATAATAATCTTTAAAAGTGTAACAATCGCTGTTTGAAAACAGTTATCAGCGTTGTGTTGAACATAACTTTTTAGTATATTGGTGCTCACTGTACGCACATATCTTACAAAACAGCTTTCCTGTGCTAATATCATCACTCACTTTTAACTGCTTGCAATCCTTATTTTTATCACTTTATTGATCTCCACAAAATATTGCTAAATTCTGTGTCACTGTATGTTGTTTTTTCAAATCTTGCATCGAGAGTTATCACTTTGAGTATTTCTACTTATTTATCAAAACATTGTGGAAGTTTCTATAAACGAAAACATGATATTTTGTTTAGTTTCTTCATGCTTTAATTTTCTTTATTTTATGGTACAAATCTCATAATTTTCTGATTGCTTTTTTCATATTAAACTTCTAACATTTGTATGAGGTATTTGTAATACATATAATTAAAATAACTTGATGTAGCTCGTTTATGAGGGGGATGTTAGTTTATTCAAGTTTGAACTGGAGTACATATTGTGATTGGCAATCCTTACTAAAGTGTTCGAACCAAAACTGGTAATGTAGAAATTGTGGTTATTTCTTTAACATAATGGTAGTTGAACTGCTTCGGCACCTCAAACACTCCATTATTATGGGCTCTTTCGAAGAAAATGCTATTTATGGATTGTATGTTTACTCACGCTTTTCAATCAAAACGGTTTCATTGACTGTTGATGCCATTGTTTACCGATGTAAATAGTATATGTTTAATTTCCCAATGTCTTCATGTAATTTTAGATTGTTGGGTGATAATCTAAATTGATTTATGTACTATTCTGGTTGTCTCCGTGTTTTTACATATTTTTCCAATGCGATACTTTATTTTGATCTACAATTAGATATTTCACATAAAGCCTCACGAATAGATGATCTTACTCGAACTATCGTACCTTATATGAATAAGCAGATTGATTTATGTTTCCTTAATTTCACCTTAGTTTCTCTCTATCGATTCGGAAATCATTGAGATTTCACGACTAACACTAGGTTTCTTCAACAGAATTTCCCTCTTATCGAAAATAATCCCTGCAATGTATTCATGTTCTCAATAGCAGACATTATTTACTTATTGCGGTTGGGTTCATTTTATTTTTGAAATACATGCTAATCCAAGTTACATTAATATCTTCCATCAACACGTCACTAAATTTAACTGTATTTGAATGTGATCCTAAAATTGTATATGATTGTTAGTGTTCAGGTTTTAACGACTACTCCGTTGTGATAGATCTCCTTGGAGTTCGTGTGGTAAATACGGCATAATTTCTGTATACTGCAATGCTGTTCATGTTGGATTGTCAATTGTCCCGAGAAGTCGATTAAACACATACAGCAGACATATTTTTACATGACTACCAGGTAACAGTAGCACGAATAAGACTGAAAGAGAGCCGTGTCAAGTCAAGGCATAGTTTCAAAACGAGAAAATCATTTATGTGACCTGATTGGTGTAGAACGTTTGTTTGTATACAGAACGTCACGTTTTATGAAGCAGTGTTTTTCATGCAAGTGGTCTAACCTAGATTATTTAAATGATACAATGGTCATTCTTCGTAATTTCACGAATATTGTTTATTGGTTATTTCTTCCTTAAAAAAATGTATTGGTTTTTTTTCATTAGTTGGTTATACTCCGGCGTATCCTCGTCTCTCGGTGGAACCTCCTGGGATGCGACTAGTGTCAACTGTGACCTTGTTATCATTGGGTTTGCAGTTACTCACTTGTGGTCTTGTACAATTTTCAGTCTTTGTATTTACTCGACTACAACCATGGTTAGTGAATATGTTTCTAATGTTGTGATGTTTATCTGTAGCATCCGTTTTTATTGGTTATTGCGTTGATATATGTTTTAAACACCTGTTAGTGCATTAACTTGATAATTGTAATCAAATCGATGTATTATATTGTTTCAAAAATTATTTAAGACTTATTGGAATATTGATAAAGGGACATATAGACTACCATTATTTACTTGTAATATCTTGTTTGCAATGATCTGTGTGGACAGACTTTTATGGGTTGATTTAGCTGTCCTTTCATTCTAAAGCACGTTATCCCTTCATTCAACTCCTTTGATTGTTATCATCATTATCCTTTATTTCATTGAAGGTATTTACCACTGTTTACTTATCATGAAGATTATGAATTAAAAAATTATGAAAGTACGGCCATATTCTCCGTATCTGTCTATCAATATATTATATTGGCTATTGTATTCTCTAAATCTGCACCATATCGTCGGTCAATTTTTTCTAATCGTAAGTTGTTTCTTTCTAATTATTGTCTTATATTGTTCAAATTATTATTATTATTTGTTTGACCTCTCATGATTGGATCGTTTGTAATGGCGCAGGTGCATAAATTCTCTTTGTTCTCTCAAATTTTATATCTCCTGATTCCTCCTTGTCTCTCTTTTCTCTTCCCAAATTTATTTCACTGGATTATACTCTTTAAATAACATCTCCAAACCCTAATCTTCCCGATTACTGCTTATACTCTTACTACCTCTACCACTACGGGATTTGAATCGACAACTGCAACTCTGTGCTAATGTGGTATGGCAACTCGAACTGATGTACGTACGTATGAAGTTCTACGTTGTTACTGACTGACTGATTGGATTGGTATTTTAACAATGAATTTGTTTTCTGATGACTGCCACCAGCTAATACGAAACCTAGGTTTAGTGTTTCCGGTTGATTGTTTCTAATACCAGAAGACAGTTTATGCGATGACAATTCATTTAGACTAGATGCAAATTTCCAACTTAGTCGATATTGCACGACAAAATCACTTAACGGGAGTTCAGTCGTTTACGACAATCTTCTTGAGAATCATAAGAAAAAAATTGAGAGATAATAATTGACTAAGGCTATTGTATTTTCGTATAGCTGATATGTTCATTTCGTCATGATCTGATGTGTCAATCAGGACAGTCGTACCGGAATTGAAATGTGTGAAACTTTTGAATTGTAACTGTCTTGACTCATTAGCTCAGTGCATATCGGATTGAGCGTTTGAAGCGTAGGCATTGTGTTCGAGTCTCAATGTGAAGATCAACACTGGGACGCAGGTATATCCAGCTGACGAGTGCCACGGAGGACGGAATGTGTGCTCTAAATTCCACTGTCAGCCACAATCCTCCTATTGTTTACAACCTTCATAAGTTCTCGTTGTCTTTACTATTGGTCAAGACAGACAACAGTATGGATTTCTCAATCATAATATGTGTATTGTCGCATGTAATACATGGTTATATTATGCATAAACTTCAAGAATATGTTGATAATTTTAAGCAGATATTTTTTTCACTGTGGTTGTAACTAATACGCAGTTGTCATTTTCTCTATGACTTTCCAATTCCATAGATTTATTCGTTGTCAACCTTATTGCATGTTTTGCTGGCTCCTTATACTTAACATCTCATCCAGCCCGTGTGGTTCGCAAATTATTCGAAGTAAGATTTCGGTGGAGGATGAAGCACTGTGTCATAGTTATTCTTATTAATTGCAGACCAATTATATTGATTTTCGTTGATTAACAATATACTGGCCATTGTACTTTTTAAACTATATGCATTTGCCGCGAGAACTGAAGTGAGGGCTGTGGGTTAGATCCCTGGAGTGTTTTTGGGTACGCACTTTTGAGATGTCCACTACTTGGCCAAAACAGCTGTCTAGTGCCTCCTGGTTTTTTATGGTATTCCAGCAAAAATCGATCTAAGACGAATGCAATATATGAAAGAAGTGATTTTCTGTTTCATTGTTTTCATATATTTTTAGGTTAACACAGTTTTATTTTGTTATCCTTTTGTTTATTGTTATAAAGCTTAATCCATTCTCTATAGAATTTCGTCCTAACAATTCTTAACCACAATTATTCTGTTTTCCTAATAAGTGAATTATTGTTTGTTTGTGTGTGTAGTGGTAGTTGTATTATTATTAGTAGCAACCACCACTTGGACATATTCATTTGGTACATATACATACTGAATAGAGAGATTCACATTGTTTCTATAGAAGGACAATTTTCTTTAATCTAGCTTTGTACATTGTCCTTGTATTTTTTGCATACATTGTTTGCGTTACAATACATCATTGTATTGTCATTAACATGACTATTATTGTTATTACCACGTCGTATTGGTTCAGTTTAGTTCGGTGGATATTTAGTGTAATTAGTCTGTATAGAAGGCATTTTGACTGTGGTCTTCTCAAGAACTGATACCACCTTTACTTGATTATATTAGTGTGTTTCTGCGAAAGCAGCACTATGATATGGTTTTTGTCTTCTAATTTGAATGTAAACCTTGTACCGGCTAATATGATCTTTTGTAGTGTTGGATATTAATTATTTTTGAAGTTTTCGTCACTTTGAAGATACTTGTTGGAAGTAACTGACAAACGTTCTTCTGCAGGAGACTTTCGAAAAACAATTCATAAAAGGGTTGGACAATTTCGTGACTGTTTATTTACATTTCTGACAGACTCTTTAGATTGTATGTGATGTTATTGGTTTTGTTATTTTATTTCCAGCTGTGTCGTTTTCCTTCAGTTTATTTTGTAATAATTCTTCATGGAATAGTATTGGGGAATTTACTATTTGGATATATTTTGGAATCGATAGTTGATGGCGTTTCATTTCGAAAACGAATACGTCATATTCAACATGCTTTATTTCCCAGGTATGTCTGTCTTGAATACTTTCCAGTTCTGGTTGATTTCTTCCAAACATTTAATGAAATGCTTTAACTACTGAATTCAACCAAACTGTCATTAGAGGTTAATTCTGAAATGAAGATTATTTTATCGGGAATTAGTAGTATGATATTTATTAAGTCAACAGTACGACTTAAAGCAACTGGTCCCGTTTATCGATTTCAGAAGAAGACAGTTCGAAATAATATAGTGCAAATGTATCACATTGTTTCACCCTCAAGCGCCTGCCCTGTAGGCCAATTTGACGGCTATTGGTCTCGCAACCATACAATGTTTTACCTATTATTGCTCGTCTAATTGGCCGAATGTTCATATCATTCACGTTTCACACTTCAAAGTCGGTAACAGTTGCCATATAATAAGCACTTTCAGCAAAATGATATGTTCTGTCGATTAGTTGGAGGGTACAAGAATTGTACCGGTTGTTTAATTAGTTAAACCTTTTGAAAATCGTTGTTTGTTTTGTGTGTTAAACAAATACTTGGGATTGTTCTTCTCTAATTGTTATCCAATAGACATGTTTCACGTAAAGACTATGAACACATTCGTGATGAAATAGATAGATTAGCTGGAGTGTGGCCACCAATTATACGATCTGCTAGTGTACAAGCGTTACCAAGAGAGCTGTTCAATGAAAGTGATGTTGTTGGACAAATTGTACAAACATCAAGAAAACGTTATAATTCAAGACTTTCAACTGACAGTGAATCTGATGAAGATTGTATTCCAGTTACTTCTGAGGAGAAAGCTGTCCTTTGTAATAGTCTACGTGATAATAATATTATTCATCAACAAGTACAATTACATTACAATGCTCAATCTCCATTTCAACCGTCTTGTGTTTTTGATAATATGCCGAAAAGTGCGATCGAAAAGTCATTTAACAAGAAGCGGACACGTTCTACTGTAAGTTTACTACGATGCATTGCCTATTTTTTTCATATAGTATAAACTGTAATTTTGTGGATAAGTGGTTCAGGTGTTCAACTTCCAACCACTATGTTTTATGTCTGAGTCCCGCTCCACATGGGTAAGTTTGAGGAGCCGGGTGATGTTATTAGTCTCCACACAGAATGTGACTCAAAACTAAATATACGGATGTATTCTTTGATGAGCTACACCGTCAATAAATTGTAATTGTTGATTCATTCAATATCAGTCCTTGTTCTGACTTCGCTGTTTTTCACTGTGAATAGGTACCTTTTGAACTGTACCTTCTGCTTAAGAATATTGTTGTTGAGTCACACTGATATCATATTTTGTATTACAAACAATCACCAACATCTTTAATGCTCTTAAGAATAATTTTTCAACTAGTGTATGAGAATCAATAGTTCCTCGACTTGTCTTCTCTTTTCTAGTTGGCCTTTTCAAGATATTGATCTTCCCATCCAGAAAAACACAAGCTCATTGACACCATAATTTATAGGTATTTTGACAATTCCTTTAATACAGCTGTATGGTTGTTCTATGAATACGCCGTTAGGATTATGGTTCTCTATAGTCAGATTATCCGTGTACTATCTGCGGTCATGTCTTTTGTATACTACTCTGTTGAAGCATTTCACATTTTATTTTCTCAATGTGGTAGTTACTTCTTTGTACCAGAAATTATTTATGTATAGAAAACTGGGGGAAATCTTAATGCAGCAAAATCAACTTTTAACAAATGTCCCAAATTATTACGTAATTATAAACTAGATAAGTAGGATGTCAGTTAACGCTTGTGATCGAAGAGTTTTAGTTGTGTAAGTCAATTAAAGCCAACCTAAAGGGAATATGAACTATGCGGTTTGGAATTGATGCACTATTTGTACTTAAAACTGTATTTCCACTTGCTGTCACTGATGGTGTTTTCAGACCGGATCGCGACAATTTGGATCTGATATGCTTGAATGCTATTACGAGTTCACCTGACTCGGTAAATGGAACGAAGGTCAAAGATACAGTGACACAATAAGCTTTTCTAATCCGTTGTCCCCGGCCCTGCTAACTAGATTAATAAGTCTTGATGAGACGTAGAGAATGTATTCTACACACACTCAGAAAATACGAGGTCACTAAGCACACAAACCAAGCTTATTTATACAATGATAGAAACGCCCTTGGAAAGCCACAAAATAGCGTACTAAAAAATCCGTCAACCAATGACAGTCAAGGATTTCCGAGTGGGAAATGTGGGCTGTAGGTCAACTAAACGTCTCTTGGCGCGGAAACAGATTCAAATGTTCAGGATAAAATTACAAAATTAGGACTTTTCCAAGTAAGTTTTAGGGATCTAATGTCCTCAGCAGGACCTTTGTTGAATATCCGGTTTTGCAAAACTCGTCACTTAATATCAAATTCCTTGACTCTGAGGAAGCGTTTGACAGTGTGGATAGGAGAAACTTATTCTTCACTATGGTGTACCTGAGATCAAGGAGCACATTGCGTGGGGAATTGGAGACAGACATCAAAAGAATGAGTAGGACGTGAAAGCAACTGGGAAGAAGAGACGAGGAATATCGTGGTCGGCGGTATGTGCCACTATGAGGATTACCACGTGTAAGACTAACAAAGTCATGGATTTGTCACTACAAAATTATTGGAAAATTAAGTACGTACAGTGGTTTTATTCTACCTAAGCAGAATGTTTTATCAACAGTCAACTTCAATTGGGTTGTTTGTCAGTTCTCCTAGGAAGGGCTCTAATTGTCTATTATCATACTGATCATGTGTATTTTCGGAATGTATACTTGTCGATTCAATGGATTGTGTGACATTTACGTTTCTGTCGAATGGCCACGTGATTTACCCTTATTCAAGATATAATATAGTTTTGTGATTTGCTTTCAATTGTCTCATTTTAGAGCACCCATAATCGCCATTCATTTAACACTACGAGAAGCCTTGAAAGCAAAGGTATCAAACGCAATACTTCTAAGGAAAACAGTCCTAGACAACAAACACCTGTAGTTCGGACTCCGACTCGACGACCTGAACGTATTCGATCACAGAGTGGACCAAAACCACTTAGTCCAAATCCCGTCAACCTCCAGTCGGACCCATTCCAATCAGCTACCTACCACTGATAGAATAAGTTTTTCGGGGAGCTTTACGTTGTTAGTCTTTCGATGTATATTATTTACTGTTATCATCAGTGGACGATTTCAAATCAATAACTGTATTTTATCCCAAATCGCTGTACACAATATGAATTGCTTTTTTTTCTTGTCCCTAATTTGGATGATTGATTTTCTCTTAACTCTTACGTTAACCTGTGAAAATCTTTCTGTCAGGTCACGTTTTGTCTTTCTTTGTTATATTAGCAAGAATATTAACCAGAAACTTATGTAATTCATCCATCTCAATTTTCATTCTTATTCACTATCTTTTAACTTAATAGAGCATAACTATCAATTTTAGACAGAAAACAAAAGACCTTTCATTATCGGTAATTTTCTCGTTTACGAATGTTGTTTTCATTTTGTGTCTCGACACATGCGGTCTATCAGTAATCCCATTACTATATCATTCGCTCACTCTAGAGAAATTCTTGCTTACATAAAGTAACACTTACAGAAAACCAACTGTCAAATTGAGTAGACCGTACTATCACGTATTTTTCGATTTATGCTTCGAATAGGTAAGAATTATCTCATTTCTGTTTGACTCATGGTTCCTATGAACTACATTTTTGTGTATTTCGTAAGCATCAAGTGAGCTAAAAGTGGGACAGACTGACTGACGAGAGGGTTCAGAGAATTCATAGACCCCGCCCTTACTATGTGATCTTGCAAATTACCTAATGTGTTTTGTGCCATTTTGTTTTTTATTTCCATGTGTACGTTACGTTCACTTGTCAAAGATTTTTTTCTTTCGTTTTTCTCTTTGTCTATAAAATCGAAGTGATATTTTTGTTTGAGCACCAATGTGATGATACATTGTTCATAATCATAAACAATATTCAATTTGATTGTTTTAGTTTAATTAGTGGTGCTATTATTTTGCTAGGTGATGATGAGTTGTAGGATTCAGTAGCATTTCTAATTTTAAAGAAACAGATGATGATAAACCGAGTATGTTTCAATGAATTGTGCATGCAACTCACATTTATTGCTAATAGTTAAGTCTTAACGAAATTCTCGTCACACCTGACCCCTAACGACTACTTAGTCGTTTCAAAGGCATTGTATTTTCGCGGGACTTTTCGACCCTTTAAGTAAACAAATGCACTATCGAAAACTTAAAGTTGTGGTTTAGTCGTCATGTTGATTATTTATTTAGGTATATTAATCCTGGTACAACGTGGCTCCTAAAAATGCACCACACAAAGGAAGCGATATTGTGTAGAAATAAACGAGGGTAAGGTTGTACAATCGATAAATAGTTATGGATAATGCAGTCAGAGTACAAAGGTTATCAGAACTACATTCTTCCAATACATTTCGAACAACCTGATCACATATATACCTGTTAATTAAGTCAGTCAGCTACAACGTAGGACCAGGCACACATATTCATCGGTCCAAGTTGCCACACCTTATTAGCACTTGTTGAGACATTGTACGAAAAAATCAAAGGGACTAATTGTTTCCATTAATAAATGAACAGAAACAGTATTCAGTAAGGGATACAGTTCAGTTGAAAATTGACAAAGTGACCAAAGATTAAGCCTGACAGTCAGTGCTGCACATTTCAAACCACTGCATTGCACAATCTCTAGAGCTCTAAGTGGAGAGTAGTCATGAGAAGACTGATAATGATCTACAATCTCACAACTCCGTTTTTCTTGAGTACGAGTGAACAAGAAACAATAGTCACCCAGGATAAATCTTCGACACCGTCATTGCTCAGTAGGGTCGAAAAATGCATCTTTTTTTCTCGTACTATGGTCCAACATTTCATATTGCAATAGTAGCCGTCTTTAATCCCACAAAACTGCTTGTTTATAGCAGGATATGGACAATCTCACCCACTAATGCCCTGGGTCGGCCGATGATGAGGAGTCCGCTCTCACGTGGCCGCGCGTATACAGCCACTGCCAGGGAAGTCCTGCTTCGCGGCATGGGTGTTGCTTACGAAATTAAGAGGATGAAAAGTCAATGTTCGGCGCTTTAACCGGGGTAATGGATACGGAGGATCCGTCTGGGGGGGTTGAGGAACCCTGATTTCAAACCTGTGGTGCACATAGACTCCAGGATCCCGGGACGAAAACTGGCGTATGAAACTATTTTTGATCACTGGCGACCGTATGACTGTGTCCTGACGTTTTCCCACTGCTTTGTGGATTAGACCTCTAGGTCAAAGACTCGGGAAGTGACCTACTGAGAAAACCACCTGCTTCGTTTTGGGCGCCCAGACAATATTCTAGCCCTTACATAAGTTGAGTGACGAAGTGTGGAATATATACATTCAGTGCCTCCTTGCACGAATGTTTGTGTTTACATAAATAAATAAAAACCACTTAATATTTATAATCACGTATTGTGATTATTACATCAAATGTATCCAGGGTATCTGGACCTAAGTTATGAGCTTTTACCAGTTAGGTGAAGTTGATCCAGACCCTACCTTATATCTCGGACAATATTACTAACTTTTGAAGTATCATCTAAAATTATCAGTCCGACCTTCCTGTTACCTTTCTATTGGTTAGTCTTCAGATTGTTGATGGACAGTGAAAAATTGAAGTAAATGGAAGTCAATTGAACTATTACTTAATTTATCTCTAACAACTGATACCCGTAGTCTTAGCTATATGATGAGTCTGAATAACTGTTTAATATTAGCTATAAACTATATCTTTCCAACAATATCACTTTCATCGCACAGCATAATTGTACAGCAGCTGTCAGTCCATGTATACATCGCATCGACTCATCGTGTTTAAAACCTGCAGAAATATATTTTAGAGCATCCACCTAGTCACTTAAGGCTTCCAAAGTTGACTGAACCACTTTAACCCTGCAGTTTTTGTTGCTAACGGACATCAGTACTGGTATTATATCCGTTTTCAGAGGATTTAAAACTATTGTAATGACCAAATAAACTCGTTTATTCATTATACGTTTACGTACTAATCTTTGAGACAGATTTCCTATAAAGAAATATGGTGCTAGGCTGGATAAATCGAAGTACATGGAATGGGTTTCCAACCTGCAGAACAATAGATGATCATTCAGAGCCCTAACTACTATGTCGTACCTGAACACATTATGAAAAAGTTATGATAAAGATATCATAGAAAATATAATTCATTGAGAATCGCATCTGATAAAATAATGGAAACATACTTCTTGTCAAAACAATATCACAACGGCTTTTAAGATTGTTCTGAGAAATGGTAGTTCATATATATATATCAAATTACATGATTCGAAAACACGGTAAAAAAGAACTATCTACATTGATTTGATGATCAGCAAAATAGGAAAGAAAATATGAAAGCACGTAAAGAAAGCCAACTAAATATTGAGTTATTCATTTGACTGCTTAAGGTCGACCTATTTCACTTCTTCCTTTCAATTTCGAGCTTTTTTAAATCATCCAAAACTCTCTCAACCTAGCAAAGAATTGATAGAAAAAGCGTCGAAATAAGTACAATCGCACACTTACCTTTCGGAAAATATGAAATCGCGGATCAAACATTAGATTAAAACTCATAAGTTGTTTAGGTCCAAGGATATGCATGTGTAAATGATGGACACTGTTGAATGGTGGCCAATGAAATCCAAACCTACAACTTATTTGATATTAAATGATAATTTACAAAAAATCGTCTGGGTTCAATTTCAATTGACTAGTGAGATAATTCTTTCCGCAATTCATCATGTCCATAACTGATTTACATGAAGCAAAGCCAGAGTTTACCTAGTGGTATATCTTCATGAGTCAAATATTTAGCGTTCCTTATGTGCTTTTTAGGAACACATTGAAAGTGATACTGAGCTTTCGGTAAGTGATCATCAAATATCACTAAATCATTGGTCTTTCATAAGTGTTCGGAAAAATTATTGATTAACAAGAATAATCAAAACTTACTTCGAAACGGATTGTTTGATTTGTCTTTCCGTAAGCAATGGAGCAAAAAATACAACCATCTTTTGGTGTTAGCATAGTTTTTCCTTTCGTCTATGAAAGTTTCAACGCGAAATGTTTTTATATCTCAGTATATTTAGTAGAAAAAACAACATCCTAATAAAATATTGTCCAGAGAATTGTGCATTAACTGACGATTGAATGGCAAGGACATTACAGGTAACGGATCGATATCCTACTTCTACTAGTTCTCTTTGAGCAGTTTAGTAGAGTAGGCTATCATACAAAAAGTACGGCTCAAAGACGAACGAATAAACCTATGCCTATTGGTAAATAGATAGCAGTAAGAAGTCATAAACTACTTTCGGTTTGACATTTCTAAACGTGTCAATCTGTTTTAAATCAAATGACCAATCACTACGAGTATTATATATTATTTATTTATTTGAACACATAAATATTGGTACAAGAAGGCACCAAATGTATATGCGCCACACAAAACAATGGGAATTTGAAGAGGAGAAGGAAGAAGGTGAGAGTGTAAAAAAACGAACAGAATAGGATAAGGTAACGTAATAATAATAATGGGTGAAACGAAAAGGTACAATCAGAAGTCTTTCAGTTAAGGAAGAAGTAATCACTTTTTATGAACAAAGTAAAAGGTTACGGCAGGATCGCCACTGGCTTCTATTCTGAGCCATATCTGATAAAGTCTCTAGCCACTGTTACACCATCTCTCGAATGCCAGCCAGAGTGTCGTGAAGGACCAACACAAGCCAGCCCTTTGCAGATTTCCTTCATATCACGACACCATGTCATACACTGACCACCTCTCCGCTTCTTCCAACCAGTCCCAGCGTCGGCAAATAATGCACGACGTGGAATTCTCTGGGACGACATTCGTAGAATATGTCCAAGCCACTAAAGTCGATGTTTCAAGATGATGACACCAATTAGATTGGCGTTTCTGCGCCCGAACACACGATGCCAAACCTCTGCATTACTAACATGGTGTTGCCACCGGATGTCAGCGATCCTTCAGAGACAACGATGATCAAACACAGAGACGTCTAACATCCTCAACTCGGAGAGGCCAGGTTTCACAAGCATAGAGCAGAACTGCTCTCACCGACGCGTTGTAGATCCGACCTTTTACAGCCAGACTTACATCACGAAGGCGCCAAAGATGGCCCAGATTGGCATAACCCACTCTGGCTTTCACTATACGTACATTGATCTCATCACTCACGCCACCACCAGCACTTATGCAGCCATTAAGAATAATAATAAAAGGAAAAAATACCTAGATACACGAACTTGTCGACTATTTCTATCTGCTCACCATCCAGGGTGAGTACAGGATTGGAATCCTGCCAGTCTTGTAGAAGTACTTCGCACTTCGAAGGTGCGAAGCACATACCATACGTACGAACACTGATTAAGTGCGGATTGCGTGCCTTGGGCATTATCGCACAGTAAGACAATATCATCCGCATACTGAAGGTTGAGAAGTCTTTCTCCAGGCAACAGATCCACACCGCCATTACTTTCATCCTTCAGAGATGTTTCCAGAATGTCATCGATGGCAAAGTTGGAGAGGAATGGTGAGATTGGGCGACCCTGCCTAACCCCACTGCTCGAATGGAACAATGGAGAAAGGTGGTTGTGTGCCCTCACTCTGCTTGAGGTGTTTGTATATAGGGCCTTTAAGATGTTAATAAACTTCTCAGGTACACCCTTCTTCAATAGACAATCCCAGAGAGCAGTCCTATTCAACGAATCGAAGGCAGCTCTGATGTCAAGAAACACTACGATTGTTGGCCTTTGATAAGTATGGCGATGTTCTAACATTTGGCGGAGGGTGAAGATATGATCAATTCCATCGTCGACCAGAACGAAAATCAGCCTGCTCCTCGCGAGTCAATCTTTCTCGGATTTTGAAAACGTACGAAATATGACGGAAGCCAATAGCTTGAACGCAACCGGAAGTAGACTTATCCCCCGATAGTTGTTACAGGAACGACTTGAACCCTTTATAAAGGCAGGGACAACTATCAACTCATTCCATGACGTTGGCACGCTCTCTAGCTCCAAAACCTTTGTAAACAACTTCGGCAGTTCTTTAGCCTGAGAGTCACCACCATCTTTCAAAAGAGCCAGAAGTAAGTCATCTGAGCCTGGTGATTTGTAGAGTTTCGAGAGTTAGAGTTCCTTGCGGACTTCCGCCTCATTTGGTGGATCAGTCGTCACCGGCCATGGAGGGCAGGACAGTCTGACCGATGTTGCCCGAGCAACAGGCCAGTTGAACCGCCCTTCGAAGAATTCCGCCCATCGTCCAGGACGTCAATGAATGTAAGTGATTGGAATCCCATCATCCTCGCAGATTGTTTCGCTCACACCAGACTCCTTGCTGCCAGTGGCTCGGATGAGTTGGAAGAGCTTCTGGTAATTACCAGATGCAGCTGCTGCTTCCAGCTCATTAGCACGCTCTGACCACCAGGCTTCTCAGTACTTACGCAAACTTTGCACAATTTCGCGGAATAGACCGACGGGCTTCAATGAGTTGTAAGGAGCCTGAAGAAACCCAGTGCTTGTAAGCGGGACGTTTCGCGAACTCACAACTGACTTTACTCGCCATTTTCATGGCGTCATGCAATCGCAACCAATGCTTATCTATACTTTCCGGTGGAATGGTAGCTAGCCACCGACTTCGGTGGCTTGGACATGTTCTACGAATGTCGTCCCAGAGAATTCCACGTCGTGCATCATTTGCCGACTCTGGGACTGGTTGGAAAAAGCGGAGAGGTGGTCAGTGCATGACATAGTGTCGTGGTATGAAAGAAAGCTGCAAAGGACTGGCTTCTGTCGGTCCTTCACGATTCCCTGGTTGGGGTCTGAGAGATGGTGCTACACAGTGGCTAGAGACGTTATCAGATATGGCTCAGAATACAAGCCAGTGGCGATCCTGCCTTAACCTTCTTTTAATTTCTTCATAAAAAGTGGTTGTGTCTCCCTTACCTGAAAGATTTCTTCTGATTGTACCTTTCCGTTCCCTCGTTACTACCACACTACCTTACACCAATCTCTTCGTTATCGTTCTCTTTTTCTTTTGTGCTCCTTAGTTTTTTTTCTATCTCTTCGAATTTTCATTGTTTTGTGTGGCGCATATATATTGGCGCTCTCGTACCAATATTTATGTGTTGAAATAAATAAATAAATAATAGGAGCTAGCTTGGTGCGATATTTACTAGCAACAGAAGTTGCAACCAGCTTGCTAACATCAATCCTTTGGTGGCGGTTACTCCGTTGTCCACTGAAAAGTAAGGCAAGATTGGCGCAGACCAAGGCATGGTCAGAGTCCAGATAGGTACTCCAAAAGGAGCGGCAGTCTTGTACACAACCACGCCAGCGGTAGCTGATCGCGATGTGATCAATCTGAGTCCAGGATTCAGATGCAGAGGGAGGACGCCAGGTGGCACATCGACGATGACTGTGCCGAAAGTTAGTGCTAGCCAGAAACAGGTTGTGGTCTGTGCAAAGTTGCAGTAGACGGTCCCCGTTATCTGACCTGCGACCAACGAGTCCCCATCGGCCACTTAGACGACTCTCTTCTGTGCCTAGACGCCCGACTTGAGCATTCAAGTCTCCGGCCAGTACTACAATATCTGTCGAACGCACTTTCTGGAGAAGGACAGATAACTGGTGGTAAAACTCATCCTTGATTGCAATCTGTCGGGGCATAGGCGGAGATGACGAAAAGACATCGTTTCTCACGCCGATTTCTTCTCACTTTGATGGAACTTTCTAATCTAACAGCACATAACCGACTGTTAATGGGGATCCAATCGACTAGTGCTGCCTCAGTCCTAGCGCTTAGTGCGACACCAACGCCAGCAAGACCAGACAAAGATGCCACAGGGTCCCCGGATAAGCGCACGTAAAACAAGCTTTTCGAAGCGACAGATGGAGAGCGAACTTGTAGTACTTCGGCAGAGTCTTGAATACGGGTCTCGGATAGACAACAAACATCAATATTAAGACTTTCCAAAGACATAGCCAGCCCTGTCTGTTGTCCGACCTGCACTAGTGTGCGAACGTTGAAGGCAGCCAGTTTGAATGGTGCACGTGGTTTCAGAAAAACTGCTTCAGTTCTCGTAATCGGTGGTAACATACAATTTTCAACCGGACAGTGACTCGAGAATGTTTAGATAGAGCCGAATTTCCACCACAGGCGAGCTGCTGTATAAGTCGAAAAATAAGTATACACGGAGTGGGAATAAAAGAGGGTGAATAAATGACGTGGTAAATAATAATAATAATAATAATAATAATAATAATAATAATAATAATGTGAGTTATTTGATTGTTATTCGGAGCAAGAATACTTTCCATAAATAGACAGTTCATCATAATTGTGTGTGGGCTGTGATACTGCCCGGGTGCCCAGACCGAAGCAGGTGGTTTTCTTAGGGGAAAAACTCCGAGCAGTGGAGCATCGTGATGAGATGCAGTCCCATGGTAGCCGGTGACCAAAAAATTTGGCTCATACTCCATTTGTTCCCACAGAATACTGGAGCCCATGTGCACTATTGGTTTGGGATCTGGTCAAAGCGCCGGACATTCGCTTCTCGTCTTCTCATTTTCGTAAACAACACCCCCGCCACGAGAAGGCAGTGAGTAAGACTTCCCTGGCAGAGGCTGTATGCGCGTGGTCGTGTGAGAGTATTTCGAGAGGAAGGGCGATCCCACCCTGTTCTTGGCCATACCAAAACATTCGGGGAGATCTATCCGCCATGAGATGTTAAAACTGAACTATATTTAATTCATCTGTCACCGTAATTCCAAACAACTCATTACGCAATAACTAGTTTCCGGACTAGGACACCAGTGACAAAATTATCGTGCACAAATTTTACTTGCACAGACTGTGAACCTAAAATCCACTTTGGCATACGCATTTTGGTACGCTTATCTAGCCGGAATACATCACAATATGATCAGGAAGAAGCAGAAACGTATCTCACTAGTTTACCATATTTTCCGATTAAAGCAGCGATTCTACTGGTATTGTAAAATGCATGCACACACCAAGTCATCATTTAGTGAATGTCATTTACTATGGTTCAAATCTTTAAATTCGACGACAGCTGTTAAATGAAGCGTGCA